TATCGTTGGTATAGTAGGTCACTGTGCCTATAAGCGAAACAGAGAAAGTTAATCAATAAACGGCCACAATAATCATCTGCTCCTATTATAAGTAACTCTATCACACAAGTAAAAAACAAGAAAAGAAATTCATCATCTTAAAAATTACATTACACTGTTTTTGTTTATTTTTAATTTCACAAAACCATTAATACAAACTACATTCACTGAGAGTGATCTAATTTTACCTGTGAATAAACATCGATGCAACGTTTCATACCATTGTGATATTTACCGATTGTCAAATCATATAATTCATTTGGAATAAAATTCGGCTCATTTGGTATAGGTAATTCGGGCGGTTTCGGTAAAATATCAGCTAACATATGATAATCAATGCATAATGGATCTTGTTTCTTATTGGCTAATAATGATTGTTTTAACGTATGTGGTATATTGTTAGTAGGAGCCATATTAGTTTTGTTTTCATGTCTCTGTACACAGATAAAAGAATTGTAAAGTGTGAACTTGGGTATAGATAGATTTGTTCAACTGTAGAAAATAACCAATATAAGTTCATGTAACCAAAACATAAAAATGCTAAATTTTCTCAAATCAGTCTTTAATTCGATATTGGTAGTGATTATTGAGTCTAGAATCGTATTACTATCTATCAAAAACCGTTTAAACAAAGAAATCACACGCAATCGGGCACTAAATTGCTTCAGTTCAGTAAATATCAATCGGAAATTACTTATATTCGTTGACAATTGACGCATTAGGAGTAATTATCACAAGTCACAAACCTTGTAGATGATACAATTTGACATTTGAAATGATTTAAATCCGTTGTAGGCTTTAGCAGGACCTTAGAAAATGCGCCACACCTGTTGTTAATAAATTAAATATTCAATCAAGTAACAGAGGTTTAGTCAGGGTCACGAAGTAACCAATAATCTGTCACTTCTGTATGTCATATCAGAAATAAATGTTGATGTGTACCGTAGTACTATTTAAACTTGTGGTTTACATCAAGTCACGAACCGTCAGAAATACAATTTTTCTACTCATTGGGATATAACAAAAAATATATTTATTATGATATCGTGAATGTTTATTGATCTGGGATCTGACTTCATATGATCAAATGATATTGGTGTTAATGAAATATACATCCTATTTACTTCATATACATTCTGTAGACATATCTTGTTAATTGCAACCTAGATATGAGTAGTCTAATGTACAAGTATTTGAGGAACATATATTTCAAACATTTGATAATGTTAACGAACGGTGAGAGGCGAGATGAAGTGCACGTGAACTGAAGTGGAAGAAATAGTTAACTCTGTGAGTATGAAGGAGAAACAAGTACGTATACAGACACATAAGTACTGGCATACACACTTGTATAAACCACTAACCAATGTTACACATTAGTAATTGGCATGGTCAAACATATAGATGATAGGACAAGTAGGAAGATTAGAATAGTTTATGCCCTAAGGTTAAAACAAGTCACCAACTAATTTACTTTAAATGTAAATTCCTATCTAAACTGTTTCTATTTGACATTGAAAATTATGTGAAAGCTAGTCATGATTTTTGAAGGTATCACACTGGTAGTTCCATACTTGTACAGCCTCTTACTGAAGAACCTATACTGCAGCTAATTAGGCTTTATTATTTGGCACGTGGCAACAATTACTCATACTACAGATGTCTTGATACTTATTGTAATAGGATAACATAATAATTTATTTCGCAGTGTCCTGAATGGTTACTTAGTAAAATGTATGGATGCAGTTTGGTTTATCGATCATTGGTCAACTTGAATATACTGAGTTTCTAAAAACTCGCTGATATTTTTTCAATATTTCCAAGCTAACATCTTCAACGCTATTGGTTTTTATCTATATGAGTAACTCACTGCATCAAGAAATGTGTTTTACGACGGAAGATGAAATCGAAAAGTCCTTGACTAAAATTTAACACATTTCAAAATAGTATAAATTAATAATTATTTTGAACAGTAGTTAAATAATAAAATACAAGTTGCAACTCCAGTCTTATTCAAGACTCACTAGTCATATGTCGATGCATCCGTGTTATTACTATGCGAAATGAAACTGAAACCCCTAACCTGTAGCTATGAACAACAGCGTTTGTTTTCAAGCTACTGAGTCATCAACCTGTTCGGCAATTATGATACTTATTATTAATTCTAATGTACAAGTTAATTACATAGAAATGCAAAGAATGTCAAAGCATTGGTTCAAGGAAACTCGGAACCTAATCAATATAATACTCGATATGAGTACAATAGTATTAGATTTCTTAAACAGATTCAATTTACTATAAAGTACAATTGATCGTTTTAGTAAAAATTGTTTCTCATTTGGTGGAAAGTTCTGCTTAGTTGTTTTTGAATAGTTACAGTGATATTCATTAGATTTGAAGAAATATTTCAGCTTAGAGTACGTATATTTTCAATCAAATGGTAAAAATATCGCTACATAAAATAAATGGAATGTGACCAACAACAAATCACAGGATGCGAGTTTTGTTTGATTATAGACTCGTCAGCAGGAGGTAACTCTATCCGAGTTGGTGTCTACTCTAGGATTCAAACACATTACCTATGTCTCCAGACGCCAACGTGTCATCTATCTAGTTACTGAATCCAGACAGCTACTCACTTGTGTTGTGTTCGGATCACAGAGTGGATACCAACGCTGGGATTCAGGCAAATTCGGCTGACGAGTTTCAAATAGGACGAAATGAGAGTCCCGGATCCCACTGCTAGTCACGTTCCCTTTAGTCTACATAAACTTGTTTCCATATGCGCCAAATAAGTCTGATAGAATTCCAGTCAAAATATAAGAGGATACTCCCAACTATTATCAATTAAATTGTAAAAGCATCATTTTATTGACTGTTTTGATGGTGTCGAAGAATAAGGTTTCAAACAATTGATTTGCGTGCGAATAATATTAATTACAGTTTAACGTGATACTAACATATCAGCGAGTTTGAAATGTGTATACATATTGAACGGTACTTTTTGTGGATGTGCGAGTAAGTACTAAAAACATAAGACTTTGAATCACACGATCTGTGGTTCCGACTGGAATTCGGGAGACAGGTTGTATCATCACTCCATGAATACACCACAGAGACTGCGACTAACTAAAAATGTTATTTGATCAATGAGGCTATGTCGTGATGTTTACGCATATAGGAGTACCACAATCGCTCGTTGGGTGACAGATGAATATCCATTCAACTCACTTCGCTTTGATTAATATGATTAGACCTCAAACAACAGAAGAAATTCAGTCTAAAATAGTGCACAAAAAACGACTTGGGACAGATACAAATCTATTAAAATCACAACACCACATCATAGCGAGCTAAAATTAACATTGTGAATAGAAAAGAAATCAAAATAATCGTAGTGTCAATTACCGTGAAAAAACTAAGCAAATACGGTTCGAAAACGAAATAATGGAGAATTTAATGAGTGAATTAATGTTGAAACGTAAAATTTGGAAAGTTAAGAAGGCATATGTCACTATCATTGCAACCCTCTTTGGTATTATGCTAACATCACCAGCATTTAATCACGTCGTCGGTCTGCACAAACTAACAGCCAATAACTTCACGAACTGACGTCGTGTTGGTTTCGTTGTACCTAGTCTTTTTACAATTTAAGCCTTGTGCTGGCCTGCACTGCATTGGGGGGGGGGCATGGTTTAAATTTTTTGACTTGTACTCTTATGTCTATAATTTATAAATTAACTAAGTATTTGGATACTAATACAATACCGGTTACTCTGACCGAAGGAGATGTGGCAAGGTTTAAACCCAAGACATAGTGGCTGAAAGTTTAGAATTCTAACCACTAGCAATACTTTAAAGACATTTAAACCCCAAATATGGTGCAGAGTTGAATGAGTAAACCAGCATTTGGTTGCTCGGTTACAACATTCCACATTATTTAGAATAAACTTTATCACTAGAATACAAACTAAAAGTCGAATGAAAGTTTAAAAAAGCTTTTAAATACCAATAAATCTAGTACATTATCGGTAAATATATGGCACACTGACAGCTAAGAGGGATTTCAAAACTGATCTAAGACTTAATCAATCGGAATGCAGCTTTTATGAAAGAGCTCTTTATTCAAAAAACATGATATAGGGATTAAAGATGATAAATGAACCTATTACAGGGTGATTATCCATATATTGGGCTATAAATCCTAATATCCTTAACGTTTTAAAATCCTAATACGCCTAACTCTAACAACCCAATCTTAACATCTACGCTCTAAACTTAATTACTCGTTACACACAAAAAAACTCTTCATCCAATCTATCAAACATTTAAAATCTAATCAAAAACATGATATCCAACAATAAACTATTCATAATGGCATTTTTAATATTTAAAATCAGTTTTTATTATTTTGATTGTTCGTTGAAGATCGTTGGTAAAGTATATCTATACTGGATTACCTTAGTAAACGTAAAAAAAAATTACGTGATACCAGGAAGCACCCATTAAATATATACAAAAGTGTACACATACACAAATCTTTGTGTGTATATTTGTCAGTTAGCGCAAAAACTACAATTTATGTATATATGATTTAAAGGTGAAAAACTGATCATCCAATAATCTAAGACAAAAAAGAAACACCAAAAAAAAAGAACAACATTCTCAGTAGTAGTTTCTTTTATTCACTTGTAATTTCACATAAATAAATAAAAAATATATGTGACCTATCGTCATAAGTTGTACATTTTGTATTAAAATGTTGTAACACAAAGACTAGCCAATAAAAACAAAAGTTAATTAGAAAAAAATTTTGCCAACAGCAGTGTAAAACTTAATTAGATATGTGGGAGCATAGATTATCCAAAAATGTAGCCAATACCACTTCACAATTTCAATCCTTTTATCACTCGTTCCTCATTTATCTCGGTCATTTTATCGATAATATTTTCTTGTGAACATTACTGAGAATGTGAATGACAAAATTCTAATAGTTTATCACATAATTGAGATGAACGATGACATAATTTAGCTTTGTTTAAAACTTTAATCACCAGATCTGGAGCGAATTGATTGATTCTCAAGAGAACACGTGATACACTGGCACGTATTCGTGAATTAGGATCATCTAAATGAATAATGAGGTTATTTAGGAAATCTTCTATAACAGCAGTATAAACTGGATTTAATTGCTGAGATGTTTTAATGGTTGTTGTTGATGATGTTAACATTGGAATAAGTAGACGAATCCATGCATTGATTGTTTCACAGATAAGTAATCGTATCTAGTTATAAATCCGGAAAGAAAGAAAAAAGACAGAACAAACCATATGTTAGTACTGCTTGATAGCTGTGAAACTTATTGCTTTCGTGCCCTATGAAGTTTGCTTGCTAAATTGTACTACTTAATAAGATTCAGTAAGTAATATCAAATTCGATCAAGTTTACGATATGATGTGCAACGTATCTGGGTTCCTGTGTATCATCATTACGAATTGTTTGAATGAATCTGCAATATTCTCCGTATTTATTATAGAAAAGTGATAATTTATTTATATGTAAAACAATCTTTGAGTATTTTTCAGATGTAACAGCTTCCAAGTTTTGTGTTTTTAGTCACAGTTCCGATTATTGACAGCTACTGTAAATTTTGACACAGCTAGTAGCTGGATAAGTGGATTACATGTTTGTAAATAATCTTTATACACCTATTCCAGGAAGAATCACCCTTTCGATTGCATACATTGAAGCGTACAAACACTACAGACATATAAAGAATTGAAGTTTGTAAATATCTTACATCTATTTTGAAATAATGCTACCGATTTACAGATTGGAATTTTGAGCATAATTCAGTCATTTCGTTAGACTCTCCAACATACATACGAAACGGCCGTTCAGTGTTTCCAGAATTTCAATGATGGCGTAACAATGATCGATTCGTGATTTCAATCGAAAACTCAACAATCACCACAACCCCATACTGATATATATATATATATATATATATATATATATAATTACTGTTGACAGCAACAAGGTATAACTGTATATATATCTATGAAACTGTTTCGTGAGATGACCGGATCCAATGTCAAAACAACAAGCTTCTTATTCCCGAGTTCAACCAGCTACTTGGTCCAAAAAATGAAAGTATTCAGATGTTTAAGCCCTAATATACATGCAGCAGTCTCCAAACCCAAGATACAAGGAGAAAATTTATCCACGAAATAACAAAAATTTTCATCATAATTTGACAATAACTGTTTAAACGAAAAACTAAACTATAACATTTAGCTCACTAGTAACTTACTTCAAGATGCTAATGAAGTTCTAGAGAGAATGATGTTCAGAAAAGGTACCTATGGTAGTGCATGATCGTTGAACTAAATCACAAACTGATTAAATTTGGAATTGCACTGCTAGACCACGAGACGTAAAGGTCGTGTTTCGATCCCCAGTTCGACGTTGCGCGAGCACTGCTGAGGAGTCACATACTAGGATGTAACAGCAGTCTAGTGCTCCATGAATTTTAGTCATACCCCAAACGAAACTAGTCTGCGATGAATAGAATTTCGAGTACTGTATACCTAAGATCAAGATGAGAAGTGCTGATTAGTCCATTATGCAACTGGTTAGCGCCTACAGATGGACTCAAGTTATCAGATTTTCATGTTTATCCCATAGTAACTCATAGAAATATTTTGCCACTGTATCTTTTGCCACTCGGGTTTTGGCATATATATATTTGTTTCGTTCCAATTTTTACCCTGAATTGGGAACATTCCAGTGAAATATTATGTCCGCAAGTTACTAAACTGTAGAATTATAGTAAAACTTGATTTACAATATTATTACACTAATGAAATTGTAAAAACAGAATCTGAAAATTGTATTAGCGATAAGTAAAACAAAGTCTAAGTGAGCCGTTCATGTAACTACACGATTAATTATTTTTTCTTCTAATATATAGAACTATTCATCTGACTAAATTGATATTTAACTACGAGGTAAATCTTATTACTGTCAATACACTAATTAATAATAATAATAATAATAATAATAATAATAATAATAATAATAATAATAATAATTAGTCAAAGAGGTCAGTAATTGGAAAGTAGAACTTACTTGGTCTTTCGAATCATTAAGACGCTTAATAAAATTACCATAAAAACGATAGACTTGATCACCAAATGAATTGGCCAGTGGACAATAAGGCAATAATACACTATGTTCTTTGACCAATTCATGATTACTACTGCTAACAGTATTAGTAATAGTAGTAGCAAGCGGTTGAATCCATGTAGGTGAATTGAGAAAATCAATAACTCGATTTCCTTCATAATGATTTTGATTACCGTTAGATAACTCCATCGATGATGATGCCGGTGATATTGGTGGTGAAGGTATAAGAAGACCATTAAAGAATATGGTCAAACAAAGACAAGCTAAACGTCTGGTCCCTTCCAAATCATCATCTAATAATGAGCCTAAACGTGCCAACATCAAAGATAACAAGGAGCCAGATAAACTTGGTAGATTACTATATTTTGGAAAGGATTGTATCTCATTGTTAGCTGTAAATAATTAAATAAATAGAATTGTGAGAAAAAATATATGAAGTGATTACAATCAATGAATTAAGGACAGTTTACACTACGGACTGACGATATCAGTTGAGGGAACTAAAGACTAGCACACACAAGATCGAACACATAATTTACAGGTCGAGTGGTGAGCACGACATCTTTATACAAGTTGGAAGTAAAGTTCTACGCAAGTAACATAGATCAATCAATTAAAGAGGTTATAAAGTTGTACCTGTTGAAGAAGATTTATGAAAGGTATATATGAAGGCCACTGCCAGGCTGGTAAGAGCAGGACTACATTGGAAGAATGTAAGCGCTGTTGTGAGCAACCCTAAATGAAATCGATTATATGTGACATTAATTATTGAACTGATACCTCACATTTATTTATTTAAACATACAAACATTGGTACAAAAGGGCACCGAATACATATACACCACACAAGTCAATTGCTTTGTGTGTGATACTGCAGCGGTGTGAAAACCGAAGCAGGTGAATTTCTTAGAGGATCACACCCGGACCCTTCGACCTGAAGGTCTGATCCACAAGGCAGTGGAGCAACGTTAGGAGATACAGTCCCATGGTAGCCGGCGACCAACAATTGGTTCATACGCCTTTTGTTCCCTCAGGACCTTGGAGCCCATATGCATCATTGGTTTAGAATCAGGATTCCCCGACCTCCCTAGGTGGATTCTCCATATCCACCAACCCGCCAGACATTCGCTTTTCGTTCTCATAATTTTATTAAAAAAACCCTCTGCAAGAAAGCAATTAAGTATACAGTTCTGATATACAAATAGTCTCTTCCTATCAAAGTAATCTTTGGAAACACAATATTTGTACGCCACATTATTTATACTGTCATTAGAAACATTCAGTCGTCACGTCTAGTAATAAAATATAAAACAATGATTTCAAAAAAATAAGTCAATTTTCACCATAGTAAACAGTTTCTATGTAAATCTCTTACGGATTTTAATCCGTTTACAATTCACAAATGAGACATCCACTACAAAACATGCATTATTCAATCTTTTACGGTTGTCAAACATGATCTTGAGAAGTAGAAAACATATGTAAGCTACTAGTAATTTGATAACCGGTGTTTTAAATCAATGGATCGTGTATGTTGGGAACGTCGAGTGACCAGTTTAAGTAAGACTCAGAGTACTAGACAAAGATGGTAAATAGGTTGATAAGAATAAATACTTGTCTCGTATTAAGATAAATAAGCTATCTAGTGTTTCTTGGTTTTTAATGGTTGTCCGTGATGTAAGTTCCAGTCAATCAGGATCAATGTAAAATCTGACGTATGTGCACATGTACAAGTTGCTACATTACATAGCTAGATAAAATTATCGAGACAAATCGTAAAGTGGTGGGCATGGTAATAATATCAGGAAGAAGAACCGATAAGGAATCTAGGCTGCTCGTACGGGTTTATGTGTCATTGGTCCGGTCGATAAGTCGCTGTTCTCTAATTGGCGGTATCATTACGTTATATATTGAAAGGGCACAATGCTACAAATTATAATAGATAGTCTCCACCTAGTTACATAGCTCAATCGAATTGTCAGTCATTTCATGGAGTAATGTCGTCTTGGTTTTCGTCATTATAGCTTTCTTCCAGTCTACTCCTACACCAAACAACACTTCCCGTTGAGGTAGGCGGCGGTTGGGTACAAGCACATACGTCACAAACACCTCAGTTGATGGAGATTCACTACCTCACCAATGAATTTGCCTTCTTTACCTAGTACCGCATACGTAACCTCAGCGTTGCCCACTCAGTGGCCCCAAAATACACGAGCGATGATTCGAATACACCTATAAGTGAATACTAGTAACCCACAAATATCCTCTACTAGAAATGGGCATGGCTCATACCCATAAATTAGAATAGAGAGAACTGCTGTGCAGTAAACTCATCCTTCGGTTGATGGACTAGAAAATTAAACAAATTCCATACACCTATTATGTACAAAGGATAATTAACTTACAATTAGTATTATTAATATCACAGACTTCCTCTCTATTTGTTAACTCTTGCATAATCTCATGCATAGATTCAATGTTGTTAGTTAAAAGCCAATTATCTATGTTGATTTCACTGTTAGTTCGTAAATTCAAAACAATTTCAGATAAATGATACATTGATACAGCACTAGCTAACAATGCTAAATAACTTGTAATAGCTGCTTTTCGCATGGCTTCTGATGTACGACCAGCTCTCCATACACATACGGGTAAAATTAACTTAGAAAAACAATAGTCCAAATATTTTGGGGATGATAATACTTCCTAGAAAGTTAAAATTAAAAAAAAGATAAAAAGGTATAAATTGGTTCAAGTGTCAGATATGTGACAATGTCATTTTAAAAAAATAAACTGTCAAATATCGTGAATTAAATGGAGATGGAATTGTACCAGTGGATGTCAACTTAGTGGTTTGAAAGTTAAGCGTCAAATGCACTAAATGAAGTTCCTAGGATTGATCCAAGGTGAGGTCGTGAATGTACACTGCTAAAGAGTCTTATACTAAGATATTACAGCTGTTCAGGACGTTTTAGTTTTTAATAGTTGTCCAGTGTCAGTTCGTGACGTAGACCATGAGATAATTGAATTGAAGTGATAATTGTTTAGTTATTAAGGTACCCACCTATCAAAGATTTAAAGAACAGAGGAGGGTTAAAAACCTATTCTCACTAAGGTGGGTTAAAAATTTGGATGCAGCGTAGGCTGCTGACCAAAATTTTGTAACCAACTCTATCTTCAGATTTCCTTTCCAGTTCTTTCCAATTGCTACTCATTCTTTTGGTGCCTGCCTTTGATTTACGGCGCAATGTGTTCTTGCGTCCACCTCTTTTCCTCCTGACTTCGAGATTCCAAGTTGGGGATTGTTTCGTGATGCAGTCTGATGATTTCTGTAATGTTTGTCTTTTCCTAACTTCCTCTCTAGCTGGAAGCTGTTTTGTTCTCTGTCATAGTAAGCCGTTGGTGGTGGTACCCGGTCAAGGGATATTGAATATCTTGCGTAAAAAATCGTTTGTAAATACCTGTACCTTTTTGATGATAGTTGTAGTTTTCAAATTTCAACTCTCCACAATAGAACTGTCTTGACGTTTATATTGAAGATTTTGACTTTGGTATTGGCTGACAGTTATTCTGAGTTGCATATGTTCTTTAACTATAGGGATGCTATCCTTGATTTTCCAGTCCTTTCCTTTACATCTACATCGGATACTCCTTGTTTATCAAGGATGTTGCCTAGACACATAAACGCTTTCACCACTTCCAGTGCTTTCCCATCAAATGTGATTAGGTTGGTGCTCTCTGTGTTGTATTTCACTATCATGATTTTTACTTTGTGTATGATGAGGCATACTGGCTGTCTTCATATGCATTTGTTGGTGTACGGAACAGGAGAACTGGGTCGTCTGTGAAGTCCAGATCGTCAAGCTGCATCCAAGCTGTCCATTATATTCAGTGCTTCCCCTCAGATGTGTAGGCCTTCATAATCCAGTCGACCACCAGAAGAAATAGAAAGAGCGAAAGTAAGTTGTTTTGTCTGACACCAGTCCTCTCTTGGAATGCGCCTATCAGCTGACATCCATGCAGCACTTTGAAGTAATTTCTGTCTTATGAATTGTGTGATATTGACAATCTCTTCAGGTACACCATAGTGTTAAAGACAAATGCTTTCTCAAAATCAAGGAATTTGATGTATAATGACGCGTTTCATCCAATTAATTGCTCAACAATGATTCGTAGTATCGCGATGAGGTCGGTGCACAAGCGATCCTTACGAAATCCAGCCTGCAGATCTCGAAGTTGGGCGTCTACTGAATCTTCCATCCGATTTGACAACGATTTGTTTAAAACCTTCTCCTGTTCCTGATAGTAGTGTGATGTCTGTAGTCCTCACACTTGCTCAGATCGCCTTTCTTTGGTATCTTGATGAGATGTCCTTCCTCCCAAATTTCCCTGAATGGAACATGGAGTATCTTTGCAGTTGCCTGTATGCCTGACTTCAGTGCTTCGGCTGGTACATTGTCAGGTCCTGCTGTTCTTCTACTCATGATTTGTCTAGTGGCCATGCTGATTTCTTCGATCGTTGGTGAAGTGACAGGTATGGGAAGGTTTGTAGGTGCTGCCCCGATGTCCGATGGGTTTAGTGGAGCTGGTCTACTCAAGAGTTCTTCAGTGTTCTATTCACCTGTTCCTCTGTTCTTGAATCTTAGTGATTGGCTTGCCTTCTTTGTCCTTGACCGGTCTCTCTAGTTTGCTATATATCCCTGCTTGTTTTTTCGTTGTATCATATCGTTGTCGCATATTTCCTTCTCTTGCAACTTTTTCGGTTGCCATTGATAGATCTTCGACGTATTTAAGCTCGTCAGCTTTAATATGTTCCTCTTCACTATCTTGTTTGCTTCTGAATATTCTGAGTATGCCTTCACTTTCTCCACTCTTGTTCAACCGTTATTAATTGGTGTGTTATTGTTCATTCTTCCCTGAATCCTACCCAGAGTTTTGATCGAGATACATTCTTTATAATGATGCTTCTTGAGGCCCAGCACCTCCTGGCACGTTGAAGCTAGTACTTCTCTGATTCGCTTCCAGTTGTTCTCTGTATTAGTTTCCTTTTTTTGAGTAGGTCTTTTGAACCTTGGAACTCGTTGCTGAGAGCTCTCTTGAATTCATTGAGCTTATCGGCATCTCGAAGAAAGACTGTATTAAACTTTTGCAAAGCCGTTTCTCCAGTTGTGAAGTGCATCTTCAGCATTAGTCTAATCCATTTGTAAAACGAAACATAATTAGATTGATTTGATATTGTGAAAATTTTCAGATTTCTACAAACCATGTAGTATGAGCAATAATATTTAGTAGAAACATCTCGTACATTTTACAACTGAAATAAAAAAAATCCGAAAAAATTAACTACCCAAACTGTTAACGAATTTACATAGGTACGTACATGTTGTAATAATATTTGGCTATGATTGACAGCACTCTAATATCAAGTCAGTAACTAAACCCAGGTGCCTAAAACAAATTAGTTGGAACGGAGTTCAAACCTGCGACTTAGTAATTGTGACACACTAAACAGGGAGTCACCATTCCACAATATTGTTAAATAAGACTTATGCAACAATTACATCAACCTTTAAACAACTAATGCCATGTAAAAAAATCTAATATTGAATAATTTAAAATTTAGATGATGTTATTCACTGATCAGATAGTCAATGGATATGAAGGGTTTATAACTTCCCGCATTTAATACTTAGAACTGTAAATTGTTAGCCTCTGTTGGCACAAATTTATCTTGAGATGGGCTTCCTCGATGTCACTCAATATTTACTATAAACAATGAATAATAATAATAATAATAATAATAATAATAATAATAATAATAATAATAATAATAATAATAATGTAAACTTACTCTGATCTGATTATTATCTGTCAGTTTTGTAAGCAACATTAAACCACGTAGACGAAGTTCAGCTTCACTAGCTAATGTTAATGGATCTGTACCACCGGGTGATTTATCAAACTGACTACTATTACTACTACCATTGTCAACACCACCGCCACAGGGTGCACGATTTAATCGACAACCACGTTCTAAAAGATCCAGCACAGATGCTAAACATTCTTTTTTAGTTTGACTATTATTATCATGATTATTAAATGTGAATAATAGTGCCGGTCCAGTAGCTATTTGTAAACAACGTGAAAGTATCGCTAATCCAACTGAACGTGGATTCCATGAAATAGATTTTTTCAAATCTTTATTTAATCTACAAATTAACTGAGTAACAAGAGAAAAAACGACAAATTATGCAACTGAAAACGAAAGTTTGAATTTACATTAAATATATGTATTTTCAACAAAGGACTGATGCTATTTACTTTACGTAGTCGGATAGTGTTACTTATAAGTAACTATTATTTTATTGCATATGTTTTCCTATAACATATATTTATCAACTCATTTACCAGATAAAAATTAGAGTATTTCGGTTTGAGCCATATTTCTAGTAAAACGGGCTAGTGATACTATGCAGTTGTCCAAATTCATGTAGTTGGAGTAGGATTCGGACCACTGAGTTGGTGAACCGAATTCTCACACAATCGGTGGGTCATCGCTTCATACATATTGTCTTGAACTTTTTAAAATTTATAGTCATCTCTTTCGATATATACTTTATAGTTGACCAGGGTTTATCAACAATCTTAAGGAGCATATATGTGTAAACGATATTATAAATAGTAGTATGAATTACGCATACATGTATATAAATACAGTTTATAAAAATAAACCTACCAAAAAGTGATCGAGTTTTAACGACGCACAAAAAATAAACTTACCTTAGGCATGCAGCTGAAAAACAGTTGATCCATATGACTAACTGTTGTTGAATTTACTTCAAAGTCCTCCTCAGTGGAGAGATGATATTGTTTGGATAAATTTATACAGTCACGGTGACAGGCTGCTAACCATTGCATGAGTTTATCACATGAACTAAGAACTGTACGACCGAAATCTGATGAAATCAAATCATTTTCTGGCCAAATTGCACCCGATCCAAGAATTATTTCAAACAAACATGAACGGATCTAAAGTTAAGGTGGGAAAAACTCTTAGGACAGTACATTCGGGGCAATACGTAACGGAAATGACAGACACTGAACGAAAAGGTTTTCTTTGGACGACTAGACACAAATTCAGTTTTTATCAAGGTGTATGAAACTGCCAATTATCCAATGATTGAAAAGCTTCAGCTCTCAACTAACAAGGTCACAGTTTCGAACTTCATTCAGCCTTATTCCGCCCTCACAACTGGGTAGCAGTATTATTAACTGTTAACACGAAGACAGTGGTTTACAGTAGAGTGACGTGTCTGTGTACGTGGCTAGTTACTGTACAACAGCGTTTTTCATGTGCAATTTCAAATAATATGATCTGAATTCAAAACGGGCTGACAGAGTTCTACCTACTATAACAATATCACAATCGAAAATGCCCTATGACAACAAATAGAGCAGTGACGGAGAATTAACAAGAGGTAAGTAGAAATAATGGTTTCTATATTCCTAATAATGATAGGCATTGTCGTAAAGGATTGTAAAATATGTGGAAAAAAGTGTAGAAAAGATATTGGATGAAAAGGTACTGAATAGGGAAATACATTTATTAACTACAAAAACAACGGATACTCGTTAGGTGCAAACCACATCACCATAAGTTTCCAGTGTCCCTCCCACAGTTTTATCGAATAAGTAAATAACTTTTTTCTATGTAGACTAAGTAAACTAAGATCTCATACTTTTGTGAATACTCTTTAGATTTTCGCGGTTACTTCTTTTATTTACTTGATATACATAAATTATGGTGCGACGGAGCACCAAGGAAGGTATGCAACATACAAAATAAAAAGACATTATAAAGGAATGAGTGAGTGAAGGGGAGTACAATAGTCAAGAATTGATTTGTGTGTGGACTGTGATACTACCCGGGTGACCAAACCGAAGCAGATGGTTTTCTTAGGGGGCTACACCCGGAACCTTCTACCTAAATGTCTGATCCACAAGGCAGTGAAGCAGCACTAGGAGATGAAGCCCCATGGTAGCCGGTGACCAACGATTTGTTCCTTTAGGATCCTGGAGCTCATGTGCACCATTGGCTTGAAATCAGGGTTTTCCAACTCCCCTAGACGGACCCTCCGTGTCCACCAAGCCAGTCAGAGCGCTAGACATTTGTTGTTCGTCCTCTCAATTTCGTAAACAACACCCCCGCCTCGAGAAGGCAGTAATTAGGACTTCCCTGACAGTGGCTGTATATGCGTAGACATATGAGAGCATTTCGAGAGGGAGAGTGGACTCAGCCTACTCTCGGCCGTACTAGGGCATTCGGGGGGCCACCGAACACTGTTTCAAGATGGTGATACTAACTAAATTATCGTCACTGTGCCCAAATGCATTGTATTACCAATGTGGTGTTGTTACCGAATGTCAGCTATCTTTCGGAGACAATTATGATCGAACACCGAGTCACTGGATACCCTAGGCTAGCGTCGGACAAGTTTTACAAGCATAGAGCAGAAATGCTCTTACCAACGAGTTGCAAACATAATCTTTAAAAGCCAGACAAACAGCACTAAGGCGTCAAAGATAACTCGGATTGATATAAGCTGCTCTTTAAGTTACTAATTAGGAGAATATGTGGTTACTTGTTATATGTAATAAATGGATCAACCAATCAGCTTGAGAAGGAAACCTGAACAACTTAATTTAAGTCTTGTAAATACATAAGTGCCTGGTTTTCAACTGTATCTCTTTTATAGAAGTCGGTAGTACTGTTGGATTGTTCGGATTAATATGTAATCGGTTTGGGGTTTGATGAAACTGGCATAACATATAGTTTACCGAGATCCACATACGAATAATAATTTAAAGGCTCCATATATGGAAAAGAAATACCAGGACATTCCCGTTTCGTAAGCATTTATATAATGTACAACTTCATGCATAATACAGTGAAAAATGTTATCTACTTACTTACCTGGTTGTCTTGAATTACTAACTTTGCTGCGTTATAAGTAGCTTGAATAATATTTTTATGACTATCATCATTCAATTGTAAAGTTTCTAAAGTATCCCCTTGTTGTTGCTGTTGTTCTGTTTCCTTTTTTAATAAAACAATCGCTTCTTCAAGATGTTTAATACACACTTGAACACATTCTAATAGACCTGCTTTGGCATTAATCGATATGACAGAGATTAATTCATTTTGACAAAGATAAGAGATAATCTTATGTAATGTACTATAATTGGTTGGTGTATAGGTCTCCTTGACATGACCACTTTTCATTTGATAATCATTATTTTCATTAGTTTCATTTCCATGAATACAATGACTATCATCAGAAGTAGTAGCAGTACTGGTAGTATTAGCGAAAGCATTAGTCACATTAGTAGAACACTTATTCAATGATGAGTCACGCTTTAACTCTTTCATTTCGTCAGTTATTATTAATTGGTTTAATGGACTACCATGAAGTAAACCAGATAAAAGGAGTAAATGGCCAGCTAATGATGATGGTGCAGCAGATTCTGTACAACGATCAAGACATGGTTCCAGTAAATGCCACCAAAACTAGACAAGAAACAAATAGATAAGTAGACAATTGTGAAAAATAGGATATATGTAACTGAATAACCAATGGTTCCTAAGTTACTTGGCTATATACAAACACAAATCGAAGATGGTAATGCATTAATAACCGATTTTTTATTAAGTCAATAAATAAAAGACTGTGAATCATGAACGGTGTCAAAATCTAAATGACGTTGAGAATTATTAGTGGCTGAAAGGGTGAGCACCCCTTGAAAGGCCTGAAGGCCTTGAACTCAATCCCTGGTTGGATTATGGATACGAACTGCTGAGTATCATACCAGAAAATAAATATCTAGTCTTTCATTTACAACGTTTAAATAGTCACTATGGCGTAAACTACAAAGTATCAGTTGTTTGGACCTATTCGTTTTTCTGAAGGAAAAAGCACTGGAGTTTACACCATGATACATGCAAATCATGAGTTTATTTTCAGGAGCCAAAAAGAATCCCTACAAAGTTTATTACCTCGAATGGTGAGTGGAAGAAGTATTTTACCACTAACAGGAAACCCAGTCTCGGAAATTCCGGCAACTTTATGATACCTACGGTACTTGATGTGATTAAACTGTTGGTGGTACAATACCCCTCCCCATTTCCCGTTAAGACAGAACAAACTGCTTGAGAATTCCCTTCAGCTGTGAGTTTTATCGATATACTTTTGGTATACTCGTACTAGGCGCATAACTAAGCAATCATACTATCGATTTCTGAACATAGTCCTGTTTAGTTGACCGAAAAAAATCCAAATGACGAAAAGCTCCCCTCCGGGACATCAGATCACCACACCGAGACAAATTTAGCCTTTATGGTTATCTAAAGAATTCTGTTGAATTTGTTCTATGTTCCTATAATCCGCCTGTTGGACAAATCGGAAGCCATAGGAATACATATCCATAAATTTACATTTTGTATGCAGAAAACTTTGTACATACCCCTCATTTGACCTTGCTTACGTTTCGGAAAATATTCGTAATCATAACTCAAGAAAACATTTTTATTTTAGGACATAAAAATTGGTGCGAAAATATTCATCGATTTATTGGTTGTAATGTGTATAAATGGTTTACGAGTGGGTTTGAGTAACTGATGTTTATCGTCAGTTGCTATTGTTGTGAGAAGTATGCATTTATAGAGTAGTAGTCTCATTTCTCGTGTAAACTTGCTAATAAGAAAATAAATTTGGCTAGTTTTATTATTATTATTATTATTATTATTATTAATGGCTTTACTAACATACCAAGTATGAGAATGTATAGGCGTATATTTAATCTAATACTTATTTTTGATTTAAAAACGCTCCCGCAATACATCCAAAAAATTTAGGATAAATTTTGATAGGTAAATGAGATTTCTTCCATGAGATCTAATTAACTGTAAACAGTAAATGGGTCATCCATTAAAAAAACAGGATACATGAACTTTAATCTTCCTAGTAATTCAATCCATTTAAGCAAATCACACATCGGTATACACTTCAATTTCAATTCCACGTTTAACTTAAATCTTTTTCCACTATTTGTTTGAATAATTCGTTAATCTACCTAGAATTATACAGATATTGAGGGGAATTGATAAATAGCATTGGAATTTGCAAATATTAGACCTTATGTTTAAAAGTCATAAATAAACAAACTTGCGTAAATCTAATCAAAATATCTGAGTTAGTCATTTAAAACAGCAGATCAAAGACAGAACTAATTCCCTATTTAGTGAAACACCATTTCCTCATATTAATATACCAACGAATAAAAACCAATATTTAAACATCATACATAATGATCTAAAACTTTTACAAGTTATTAAGAAGGATTTAAACGCTGAAATAGCTGTTACTAGGTTGGGACTGAAGTTTCAGTGGTGCGATTGGAAAAACTGGAGTTTGGAGAGCTCAATTATGACTTTCTACTCAAAAGGTAAAAAGCTTCTAGGATGGCGTTTGCCAGTAATCATTCAATGAGAAAAAGACTGATTTTTCTAACAGGTGCCGCTTTAATGTGTCAAATAAAGTGGATAGTAGTATAGGGATCAGCCCTTCCCCGAAGGATTATCTCGTGGACTCTACTAATTAGATTAGAATTAAGTAAACATTGGACATATTTGAATGTTTTAACTTCTAGAAATCAGTTCGACTAGAAACTAAGTCAATGAACTTTATTTCAATTGAGTAGAACACTAGACTGGTGTTCAAAAAAGAACAAGTGATATATGGTGATTGGTCTTCGAGGTCTCTGAACTGTTCCACTAAAACATTATCTTGTACTCCTGAAACATTCTTACGAAATAAGTATCAAACGGATAATCTAAGTACTAAAAATATTAAAAACTCACCTTAGTGGGGATCATGCAACCCAAAACTTGAGCAGCAATAAATAATTGATTGATAATTTTAATTGCCTCGTTGGCTTCAGATAAACTAAACACCTGAGATGTGGCATGTGTAACGACTAAACTCATTACATCTACTCTGTCAGCAGTGGTTGTACTTGACGAAGATGTTTCCTTCCGAAATGAAACTATAGGCATCATATTTATTAAAGACATATTTCCAACAGGTGATATTCGACTAAGTGCATCAGCTAGACCATTTGCAATACCCGTTAAAAGATGTTGAGTATGTTGAGTAGCAGATTCTTCAAGATGTAATATTAATATGGGTATTAAACTGGCTGCTTTTAAACGTGTTGCTTCTTGCCAGTCTGAAAGATCTTTACATAAACCTGGAAATAGTTTGGATGCCGATCTGTAGACGAGCTCTCGACAACCTGTAGAAAAGCATACTCTTTCAATAAACATTTATGGTAGCATATTATTACGAAAATAAAGTAGCTTGGCTCAACGTGTGGAAGGAAAAACTACAGTAAGTGTACTATTAGTGTTGTTAATATCTTCAATAAAATGACCGTTAAAGATAGGAAATAGTCAACTACTTGCCAACAAAAAGTGATTCCCCAATATAAATTTGATGGCTCCCGAAACGTCTAAGTACTCACATGACAATAAGCATTTTCAAGAGAAGGGTTTTGAAATACACCCCTGGCCTGAATAGATACGCCTTACATTATATGATGTTGACCCTTGATTTGAATGCGTAATCCTTGTGTCAACCAACTACCCGATTGGTTTAATATGAAAAGTAAATCCTGCCATTTTCGCCTGACCACAAATTTTGGCTCGGTGTTTTTTTTAGAGAATGATTATAAAACAGTGAGAAAACGCCCGCATCAGTGTTTACATAAATAATATGCTTTGTGGAATTAGTCAAACGTAATATGGAATTTACTGTATTCGATTCAGTACTAAGGTTGTCAATGGAGCAAACTTAATAGGACACTTTCCGCTTTACTGAAACAAGGACATGGACTTATGGAAAACTGCGTTGATATCGAAAAGAATGAATCGTATCGCTAAATTTTGTTCATCAGTTCGAATTCATATTAAGTACAAAATTAAATTGTTTTAACAGGTAACATCATGACTCTTAACTTAATGTGACAACAGCAAATTACTGATGCAGTTTAAGCTTTGGATTAATCAAGCACCTTTGTAAGGATACTACTTCCTTGGAAAACTTACCCAGTATTGGTCGTTTGCACCCACATGGATAGTGAAATGGAGGACCGTGATCGAAATCCAGTTTATCTTTCAGCTGCTCTTCGTTCTCTTTTTCAAACTTAAGTCCTGAAAGCTTACAAAGTTTAATCAACCTTCCTAACTTACCTATATGATGCCACAATTTTGTAGCAACCATACGGATTTCATCTGATTCGTCAATGAAACCGGAAAGAAGTAGAGGCAATAACTTTGTTTGATATGAATACCGATCAGGTAAATCCAACAACCATGAGCCCACAAGTTCAATAACAGCTCGTCTAACTGCTGATGACGAATCAAAAAGTCTTTGGGTTAATGGTGCGATAACATTTTCAACAAGCTTTCCCTGGCTTTGCAGCAAAACCTTTTCAAGAGCGACCACAGTTTCTAATCTAACTTTCGAATGTTGATGTGTAAGATTTGACAACATAGGCAGTAAAATAGACTCCGAAATTTGATAAAATCGATGGCATTTTCTCTGCGATAAAACCACTGCAATTTTACAAGACAATTTTTTAATTTCATGATATGGATCGACAAGTGTCTTTTGAATTACTGAGATATAATCATCGACAAATGGAGATATCTCATCAGTTCTATTCAACAAAATATATAAGAGATTAAGTGTGGAGTAGCGAATCTCTTCGGAATGTTCTATTATTTCTTTCTGTCCTAAACGCATAACCAGCACAGGCACTAATAATGCAAGCAAAGGTGTCACATCATTAGTTACATCTATGGACAGCTTTAAAACTTTCACTGCAAGTTCGCGATTGACCTCAACAGGATCATTCAAAGTCTTTGCCAGATTTTCTGCTACTGAACTAAAAATGGTACTTTCTTTATCGCTGTTAGTATTCAAGTAGTCTTCCACAGACTTCAATGCTTTTTTTCGAACGAATCTGTCTTCATCCGTCAGTAATGTAATATATCGAGCAATATTACACAGACTATCACCCATATTGAGGTGATTGATTTGTTGCACTTAGTAGCAACCGTACAAACAAAGCCTCAAACCTGCCACTCTACATAAGACATTCAATATCTCGAGTTCATAGGTCCATCAATGATCTTACATTATCATAATCCAATGAAGTTGAGTACTATTCTTATTACTTAGTGCGGATCATTTATTTAGGATTATAAGCCAATTAGAATATTTCAGGTTCAGAGTTCTAAACTTTTGATTTAAGAATTTCATTTTCACTTTGGAAAGGATAAGAGGTTAACCGACCTGTGTTAGTCGTGACAATGGTGGACAACTTTCTTTAGAAAGCGACGACAAATGGAGCTTTATTTATGTGTTGAGGTATTGAGCTTCATTCATTGGTGATTCAATAGGTAAGTCAGTAGTCAGATGACAAGTAACTTGTCCTCGGCTTGTGAATCTTTTAATACTTTCCTCATAAATTTTCTGTTCTGGTAGACAAGAAAAGTCAAGGCATATCAAGTGAAACTTTAGCACTAAGTAATTTGAAAACTGCGATCGAGTCGCTTCTGATCCTGCTATATGAAAGCCGAAACAGTTTCATTTAGCAGTCAGGCATCATATGGGAGCTTCATCATCCCATAAATCAACTTAGTTGCGGTACTTTGAAACTTTTCCAACATTTCTCTGTCTCTTTTTCGTCAGGGCTGGTTTCTACTCAGCACTCGAGTTTAGGAGGCACGAATACTGCATACAAAGTCAGAAATATTTTAGCATCGACACGGTCCAGAATGGTCTGGAAGGTCGTAAAAGAAGCCCGGGACGCTTTATAGGGGCGTGTAGCGGTAAATAAATCCCCAAAATAAATAGCTCTGTAAGTTTTCGACATTGGATACTGACCACATTAGTTTTAATGAACTCACCTAGTTGAAGGCGCCCGGTGATGCATCCGCACCAGATCACGAACGGGAACGCCGTGCTCAACAATCTCTGCAGTCGCTAGCCAGATTAGATCAGACGGTCCTCGATATATTGATAGCCTATTAAATTTATCTTCGAACCTTCTCGCTCCTCTCTTTTGATTTCACTTGGTGGGAACGCTTCATATTAAGTGTTACTGGTTAAAGCGTTGCCAAACTCCGAATACCTGTGGCATCTTCAAGCGCGATTTGGTCGGGTCTTAGTTGGACCCCTACGCTCAGTGAGAGTAGAGTACTAAGGTGAATTTGTTTTTTACTTTTAGTTCACTTCAGAGCATAACCTATCCTCTCTTCAGTTAGTAGGACCAAGACCTTGTATCAACCATATATCATACTAAATTTCTGTTAACTATGGATCATGGAACATTTCAGATCAAACAATTAACGTTTCAATCAAAGAATTTTAAAAAAATAACATTCTTGTTCTCAAATGTGATAATGAATAAAAAAAACACCGAAGTTGAAATTCATTACTAGTGAGTTTCTAGTGTCCTTGTATACGAATGGTGGTGGTGAATAAATCTCGTAATAAATAGTTCTTTAAGTCCACGACTTTGATGCTGACCTCACTGTATTTATTGAACACACATACGTGAAGTCGATCAGTTACGCATCTGCACCGAGTGGGTAAGCTGTGCTACTCATCCCTTGCTTCTGACAGCCATCTCACATCAAACACTTTTCAACATATCGGTAACATTCAAAATATATATTCGAACCACTTCATTTATGATTTTTGACTTCAGTGGGTTGGTGTACTTCGATTATGAAGGTTGAAGCGGTAAATAAATTCCCAAAGTCAATAGCTCTGTAAGTCTTCGACATTTGATGCTGACTGCATTAGTTTTAATGGACTCACCCAGCCGAAGGCGATTGGTCATGCATCCGCATCAGATCATGAGTGACTACGCCAGGCTTCACTTCTATAACCGCTAGTCAGATCAGATTAGTCAATTCTCGATATATTGATACTCTACCAAATATATCTTTGAACCTCTTGATCTCTGACTTTTGATTTTACTTGGATTGGCACGTTTCGATCATAGAAAAGTGTTACTGGTTAGGGCATTGTTAAACTCCAAATACTTGTCTCACCTTTAAAGTATTACGTGTACAGGCATTGTCAGACTCAGAATACCAGTTGCATTTTTACTGTGATCACCCGATTCGCGCATTCGTGAGTTGAAACTGTACCATTCGAAGATTTTGCATTCTGATTTGTCATATTTTAAAGGTCGCAGCATGCTGCTTTTTAAGCAATTTAGGGGAACCGATGAAACCTTACCAGAAATATTTATCCGAGTAAACAAGTAAAAAGCAGAAGAAGAAACACAACACAGTTGTTAAAAACGTTCGGCTGATGTCGTCAATTACCCGGCCCCACTTAATTTGTTATTAACCCTTCTTTTACGTCTTGGAAATATACCCGAGACTAAGTGACTTGATAAGTCCATTTGACTCCCTAAAAAAACACTAAGCTGTCCCCTATACGAAACTAAGAGAACAATGAAAGCTAGCAAAGATATGTGAATAAGTATTTCACAAAGATCTTGGATATATCTTAATAGCGTCGCGAATTCACCATGTAAATATGATAAATTAGATTAATCAAATAAACGGAGTACAACAAAACATTAAAAAGTTTGATAAACACTGAGTAACAAAAGACAAACAAGGTGGTTTTTTCGCTCTAGTTGTTCTTAAGGTATCGGATACTGGACGACCTTGGAGATTGTTTTAACTAACCAAGTTATTGTACTTATTCATTTAGTAAAGAAATGGGTTGTTCGACAGGGGTATTCTGTTGTAAATGTCGTTACATTATCGCTACAATGGGATTTATCAATCTAATTCTGATTTACATGATGAGAGTTGATTTAAATGTTACAATACTTGCCATGGTCAATGATACGGTTGACAAGACATCCACAAATCATTCGTCATTTTATTGTTCTAATATTTCTAATCACACGTATCTTAAGAAAACTGAGGTATAACTTACTAGTTCGAATAAAACGTCTATCTAGACTAGCACGGGGGAGTTCAATTGGGATAGGCTGACCCAAGGTTTGATATTGGGAGCATTTTTCTGGGGCTATATTTTAACTCAAATCCCAGGTTAGCTTCGTTTCTTTTCATGTTAAGTTTTAATAAATTCTCACTGAATAGTAGCCAAAGATCTGTATTTAATCGCGCGTTATCAAAACATTTGCTGAACCATAATGTATTCTATCATTTTAACGAGTTTTGTCTAGTCAGATCCAGATTTTAATACCTTATGGTAAATATCACATTGAAAGGATAACTGGAATAATAAAGAAAAATTCAGTTTTACATATTAGAGGTTTTGGCTTTAGGTTTTGCCAACTACCGGTTTAGTGATTGAACCCACGTGTGACTAATCGGCAATTGTTACGATATTTGGGCTAGGTGTTTGCCTGGTGGTAAATGTTTTAGTTTATTAGTTAGTGTAACCTTATATATAAGATAACTTTGCGACTATTTTTCACCTAAAATGGTGACACTGACACATTTATCGGTTATAAATGATGGTTTTTATCATTATTTTTATAGTTTAAATGAAAATATCAAGCATAAGTGTTCTCGTTTCATTTAGGTCGTAAGGATGACTGTTTTACACAATTTTTCGGACATGGTCTTGATCTTTAAACTCTGTTGAAACCAGTTTTTCGAGGTCAAAAGTCACTGTGTCTTACATCATAATATTAAAGGACGTTAAACTCTATTTGAAGCTATTTATGTCAGATTTGCTAATTTTTAATGTACTCTTATGCATCCCTTAGACAATAATCTTAGATGTAATCGTTATTTAATGTCAGAAACACTATCTTCATTCTTTAGTGATAACAACAGCAGTTCAGTTGACCTGTGTTAATGATTGAAGTATTTCTGTGTAGGTTCAGTTTCTTGTTTATTGTTAAGGCTGATGTAAATTGCCTGTTGACCATTCTGTATGAAAAATGAATTCTCATCGTCAGTTTATTTATTAGCCTCTTTCGACCACTTTTTGACGGCTCTGAATATCATTAATTATATGAAATACAAAATATAAGACATTATGACAATAAATTCATTCACTTGGTTCTCTTCACAAATTTTTCCAAGGCAAGAAAGACAATATCTTCAGAACACTATGAGTCTGTCGTATTTTTTCCTGTTTTAGCTCCATGCGAGCCAATATATTTAATTATTTCTAGCTGATAGCCCAATGTTAGCATTAAAGTGCCCACGAAGAAACTGTGTGCAGTATAAAAAATTCGAAAATTCAATTACTTTAAAAAGGATTTTTTTATAATTACTTGAGATTGTAAGGCCAGTGAAATGTCTGAGATGCTGAGATAAATTTATGGGTGACGTAACAAAAGTCTTAAACGCCTGGAGCGGAAGTATGAACGTATGAAGATCAGCTCATTAAATTATGGTTACGCTCAATTGTAAAAGAGTTACAATTTTAATAACGCAGTTGAAGGTTAACTACTGACTTTTTATGAATATAAAAGTCAGCTTTATGACTTTTGATTGCAAATTCACATTGTGATTCGTGTCTAGTAGGTGGAGTGGTACCAGACTTCGTAAATAGCTTTCTCATCTGCAATTCCATTTAACTAATGGATGTAAATCAACTTAGAGCTCAAGGTTATTGAACGTCACATAATCTGTAGTTAAGGCTCTCCCTAACTTAAGTAGTCTAGGCAATTTATTGGAAATATGGTGATAACACCAGGAGATCTGAGATAATATCGAGAAGAGTACAACTTGTAGTAGCCTTTCACGTGTACAGGACTACATTTGCAAGTCAGCTAAAATGACTAAAACCACGAAGAATGCCCTTTAAAATTGATAATCGATAATAAGGATGAAATAAAATCATTAAAATGTTTTTCTTGTAACAATTATTGGCAATGGCGGGTTTAACTGAAATGAAGTGATCTCAGAAATTATCATGAATAAACTCAATGGATTTGTGAAAAGTATATAAAGAGTGGGGAGATATTTTCTAGTGCCAAATAAAGTAGTAATAGTTCAAGGTCATTGTAACGATAAGAATAAGACGTACATCAAAAATTTAGTTCTTGTTAAATTCCAAATTCACCTAAAAATATTTTTTTTGACGGAGTTTCCAGATTTCTTGTTCTGACTTCCTTTTATGTTCTCCTCTACGAATCGACTGGAATAGGATTCAACCAAACCAAAAAAACTTAAAACTCGGTGTGTTAAGAAGATGAAAACCGAAAGGTTTACTCGCGTATTAAAATGCCGTTGTTTTTTAAGTGGTGTGGAGTTGACATGCTGAACTGTGAAAATTAAATAACCATAATGTGTAAATATGTAAAGCTGAAGAGTATTCTGATCGAATTCTGTCTAGCAAACCGCAATATGATCACTTTTGATCTTATATAGTCCAAGGTATTCCACAAGAAACCGCGGAATTCGGTTTGTTCAGACTATAAATATTCAGTTATTCAGATGCTTAGAAGAGTATTAAGCTAGATATATTGGTCATAAAAAAAGTTTCGACAGGTGTTTTGAACAACGTTTTCATTTGTCTGTGGCTACAGTATTAGAAGGATACCACTGAATCATAATGGTGGTGAATAATGACTTGAGGTTTATTAGTCTTTCTATGAGATAACGTTGGCGACGTGTATAACTGATTTTATTTCCATCTTGAGTAGGACATACATCAGAGTTGTTGCTTAAGGGCACGATATTAGTCTGTGAGTCTAATTACAGATGATTTTGTTCAAATGTAGATTATAGGTTTTGGTTTGTGACAGTAGAGACAGTAGAGATTTAAATGAATCAAATGGGCACAAAGTTAATAGCAAAGTTGCAGATACTTTTGAGTTTTACTTAACCATAAAATTCTGGGGTAAACGGTTTTAGTTTCTACTTATTTGTTCTTTTTTGTCTTTTCACACTTATTCGATTATTCAGTTTGATTCATCCAATTTTTTTGACTATGATATTTTGAAATATTGCAAGTTTTAAAAAGCGCTAGATAGCGTTGCATTAAAAGTCTATACAACCAGTCAGTTGTTTTTAAGCATTTGTGCTATCAGTGTTAGTTTTTTTCAGGATCACGACAAGCCGTTTTGGGTTTCAAAAAAATAACCATAAACTGCCAGGAAAACACGATAGCTTTATTCCTTGAATGTTGTCCTTTGTTATTCTGATTATAGTTTACAATACAAAATGATCTTAGCCAGTCAACCATTGAAAACCAGGAGGCAGTCAACTGCTGTTTTATTTAAGTGTAGGAATCATCAATATTTTACATCTTTAACCGCATCGGGGATCGGATATAGGCTAATCATATCTCATGGTGAGTACTCAAGCTTTATATCACTGAGGGTTTATGCCTTTAACTTTAGTGAATTCATGATATTGCCAATTGATGAGTAAGTAACTGTTTAACACCTAACGTGGTTAAACAGTCATTGTGACTTCAGCCGCATACTACCGAGTTATCCCATACTAACGTGAAAGAGCTATCCAGTGCCTCATGGTTTTCAATGGTTGTTTAACTAAGGTCAGTTTGTGATGTAAACCACCAAATCTACCAGTCTCAAAAAATCCCTCTCACTGATAAGTGTGTAGTTCGTTTCTTTTATGTGGAATCCCTTGTTACTCATAAAACTAGTAAATAGTTGTGTTCATTTTCATCACATAGTTCTGATAATCTTCGTCTTCTAATATCATTATCGAAATTTATCAAATGGACTAATTGTTTTAAATACATATGTTGATTATCTAAACAAACCTTGGCTAATGATAACGAAACTGCTAAACCGTGTTCGACTGATACAGACAATAAAGCAATGTCTTTTCAACGTCAAATTCTCTTTGCAAATACATCCCTTGACGAAGACTATTTCCAATCGGTATTTGAGTACAAGTACTTCTGGTAGATTGATGGTGTTTCAATGATTGTTACTTCACATCACTATATTTATGTCATATGTTGAATAATTGTCTGAAGATCCTATTGAAATTATTTCTTTGTAAGCGACTAGTGGATGACATCATGGTCATATGCAAAAAAAATCATCTAGAACGTTGAAATATACTAAGGGGTACCACTGTAGTGGATGAAAAATCAGGTATGGTAAACCAGTTTATTATTTGACGTAAATTACGCAGTGGCTTTGTAAAATACGAAAATCATACATTAAATTCATCATTTGCATATCTTCCTTGAGTTTTCCTTTACACACCATTATTCCTGTTTTCCTTTCTCCTCTCTTGATTTCAATCTCCACCGGTAAGCATTGAATTTCTTATTCCTACTACATATTACTTATATCCATCCACATAAGCAATGCACACCACATTATTCATTCGGAATAAAAAAATCATCTAAAATGTAAAACTTAATGCTAAATAAAACTTATTTCGACGTTCCCTTGAAAAAAAGTCAATTATGAACTTAAAATTAAACAGAAAATTCGCCCATTCAACATACCAATTTGCAGGATTGTAATCCTACATACATAAGTAAAAAATGATCATAATAGTAATTGAAAATCTGTTCATTAAATTAGTTATAACATGTAAGTCAGCCAGTTAGTAACAACGCAGAACTTCGTACATACGTGCATCAGTTACAGCTGCCAGACCACATTAGCACATAGATACAATTGTTGATTCGAATCCCGTAGTGGTAGAGGTAGTAAAAGTATAAGCAGTAATCAGAATGATTAGAGTTTGAAAATGTTATTCAAGGGTTAGAATCCAGTGAAATAACTTTCGAAAGAGAAAAAGAAAAAAAGGACATGAAGAATTCAGAAGATTAGAATTCGGGAGAACACAAGGAATGGATGCACCTGAGCCATTGCAAATGATTTTGAGCCATTTCATTCAAGGTCTCTAACCATCAGTTGCTATCATCTCGTGAATCCCAATCAAGTAGTCTACCCCTACCAACATGACTCAGTCCACTTGTCAGTGACTTCATGGATTTGTGTCATGTTTTGGTTTGGTCGCCCCTTGTTTTCGTCCAACCTACTCCAACACCAGAAAACATCTCACGTCGGGGCAGTCGGTGGTTGGCCATACGTAACACGTGTCCCAGTCATCTCAACTAATGAAATTTCACTACTTCATCAACTTATTTGCCATTCTTACCTATGACCCATTTCCTAACAACTGGATTACTTACTCAGTGATCCCAGAATATACGAGCAATGTTTCGAAGACACCTATGATCGAATACTAGTAACCTACGAATATCCTCTACTCTTACCGGCCATGTTTCATTGCCATAAAGTAGGACGGAACGAACTGCTGCGCAATAAACCCGTCCTTTGGTTGGTGGACAGATATCTCGCCTACGTCATAAATGACGCAACATTTGATAATCATTAAACCGTTTTTTTATTAAACACAATAATTTAAAAAAGACTAGAAAATTGATCTTTTATAATATTGTATAAATATGGGTCACAGGAATCATGTTAATATATTAAATATCTCTACTGTCTAATCATAATTAGTTTGTACTTACCTTAGACTTATCATGGTAAATATTGACTTTAATTTATCATTACAAGTTGTATAATTAATTCGACTATTATATCTTTTATACAAAATAATAATAATTTTGTGTATATGTATGTTGTACTTAATATATTGAGCTAATATTATCATTCTATCAAAAATACAGAATTCAGAAAATCATTAGGTTTGTGCACTTCGGATAAATGTTAATTTATAAGGAAATACATTTTTTCCAATGGCTCAGTAATTCATGTATTAACTTTAAAGCTGTTATGCTAGGTACATTAGTTTACTGAGAATTATAAGTTGGTCATACTAGTGACAAGAAACATTTTAACTTAACAATTTGATCTATAGTTGACAGATAACTATAACCAAAAATTTGATTGTTTTATTGTTTTGCTTTGTTGAAATGGTTGGCATTGAAGAAAAGTAGCTCTGGACATTAATTAAGTTCCAGTTTGGTACTTGGTAGTAGTTTTTCTACTTCTTTAACTCTTGGTCTGCATTATTTTGGTCTCAAACAGCAATTCTATGGTTTGCCAATATTTTATGGTATTCAGTGGACAAATTGTAAATAGCTTCATCGAATTAACTAGTCTATGAACTAATGCAAGTTAGACCACCATTGAAAATTTGAAAGCACTAGATGTCCATTTCGTCCTAGTGTGGAAATCCTCAGCAGTGCGCGTTCACAATCCCACACTCAAGACTCGAACCCAGAACCTTCGATCTAGCGCGTAAACAATTAACCTGTAGACCACTGAGTCGGTATTAAGTGGTGTTAATGTCTAACCTCAGTCACCCCATGACATTAAATGACCATCTTCCATTGTCTTTATCGGGTAACTGCCTCACACCCAACACGGTCTAAGTGACTTGACATCATATGAACTATGTTGGGATATCAGGCGTTTCAAAGTAGTCGGCAGGAAAATAGACAGGAAGTGTTTCGTTCTAGTTGGCACTAAATATCTAAACAAATACAGCATTGGTCATTATTCAGTAATCAATCAGTTGTAAATAACTTGTCCCCACTGGAAGTAAGTCACGGAGTAGATGACTGAGCTGTAGAGTCTAAAACTATATAGCTGAACGATATGTGATCGATCATTTTCCTCAAAATTGTTGGTACGTCTAGATGACATGTGCATGAAACCCTGATAGATCAGAGTTTTTGTATAGTAACTAGCTTTTGTGAATCGTGAAGCAAACTAGAAAAATGTTTTTATTATAGTGAGTTTGAGTTAAAATTCGAGAGATGCATTATACTTGGATATTTGAACAATTCCCATTCATTTAACTATTGTGCTATAGTAACTCAGTATCAAAAACGACTATTTATTGGATTTTGATGAATTCATTTGAGGAAAAATGTTGTATGAGAAAATACACAGTATTGTAAGTAGGCACGTGCTAACAGTTTTAAGTGATTTTAGTTAATGAGAAGGGATGTAATGAAGTTCACTTCTTATACCATTTTTGGATGGCAATATTGAATGAACACAATATAAGTATATTAGTTAAAATAGACATATTTCATTATTTTTTCCCGACAGGTTTTGATGATAAACTGCTTTTTTCAGGAACATTAGCTTCTGTTTTATCAGTGAAAATGTCTTTCCTTGTTTATCGTTTCAAAAATCGTTTATTTCATCTGATATTAGGTGGTTGGATATAGTCCGTAGGAAACCCTGCTCGACCTAGGTCCCGTGCTAGTTGACATACTCGTTAGCAAAGTGTACCTGCAGTTGTGAGGCCACTGGTGGTTCTTGTCGGACTCCATTCCACGTCACTCAGTACTACAACCTTTTGACGTTACTTCTGGGCTATTTGGGAAGCGACTGACCTTCTGTAGGACTGAGAAGTATTTACAGTTGATTGATCCCTGAGTAGTAGTGACCAATGTCATTAGTTTGTAGTCTTTTAAGTGCGGATCGAATTCTTTCTATTGTTGTCTATTGTTTTGTCATTCGCAGTAATAGAACGATCAGATTTTTCATTTGATACAAAAAAAACTCAATTTTAAAAAACCACTAATCATGCGACCTCGCTGATATATTAGTAAAATGATGATATAATTAGCACATATTTTATTCATATTACACACTGTAGTTGGTAATAGTAATATATACGGAATTTCAGGGTCATTAGTGTTGAGTTCATAGTTATTGCATCCCAACTATTTCAGTGAATTGGACAGTGATTTTTGATACATTGAGTAGATTTTATAAAAAGCTAACCCCATGTGAAATATTTTTGCTTGGGCAAACTAGTCTTTTCGCATCGGATATTTTAAATAGCTCTGGTGTTCAAGTGTTTGGCTGATAAAGTTGATTAACATGACTAGATTAAATATTTTGTGCTTTGATTGCTCAAATTTGATGTCCAACAATATTTACTAGTTCAAACGACGTAAAACCTGCACACAGCTAGTTACTTTCTGGACACTGTCCCAACTGAACTACTTAGCTCTACTCTTAATCAGTTCTCAGTTTTAATCAATTGAATTATACTAGGTGGTAAACCAGGTTTGTTCTCCCAGTCTATTTAGTCTCTAAAATCAGGGAATAATATGCATTAAAAAGGTGAAAAATAAGTCCTAGTTAAACAATTGGATCTCCTACATCAATTACTATAACACATTACCAGGTCAGTGAAACCTGGACACTTCTTCTTTGGATCTTGTCACAGTCTTGACTTTTTGTCAACATCAGTTATTCCACATATTTGACAGAAATCCCATCCGGTTAACCATGTCCACTTTCGCTATTTCAATTAATTAGTAAGCGGTCAGTGATATAATTTAATAATCAATGTTTTTGGTCGAAACATTTTCACCTTATGATATTATATAGACTGACTTTATATAACAGGTTGATTGATTAACCATTGGCAAGTTCTATTCGATCAAGTCTTAATAAAATCTTACCAGTTATAGATGTAATAATAACTTTATTTCCAGAGATGAGTCCTAGAGTTTTAGTGAAAAAAACCGTGGCGAATGGAGTTCAACTGTATTGATTGTAGAGGAGCTCACCGATGACACTGAAAAATGGTCGCATAAAATTGCAAAGTAATTGAAATCGAACATGTAAACCGTAGGATGCTAGGTTAGTGATCTAAAGGTTAAGGCTTTACTGAGAGAGACGTGAAAGTTCTAAGTTTAGTTCTCAACATATTATTGAGGAGTTCTATACTGTTAACTACTTCCTGAATCTCAGTGAATTTATAACTAAGTTTGGTCTGTGATTTTTGTTTTAAACACATTGGACTTCTGTTCATAATTCGTTATAAAAATATTAGTTACTGTTATTTTGCAAGAAGAAAAACACATCACATTTTCTGTCAAACTTTTTACATGTACATAATGCTGGCTAGTGTTGGAGACACATAGAAGAAGGTTAAGAGCAGCCAAACCGAAACGCGGTATCAGTCCAGAAAGTCACTAACTTCTGGTTTGAGCCATGTTGGTAGATTCAGACTACTTGGTTGGGGGCCGTGCAGCTGTCGTAACTAACGGATAGGTAATCTGGGTGACATGGCTCAGAATCGATCACAGTGGCGTCGGTGTATACACTCTTTGTCTTCCCTTAAACCATGAGAATGAAATTAATTTATACCTTTCTTCCTACGAACTAATTCTGTCTTATATGCAATCATTTTTTTTTATATATTACTACCGTCGAAGTAACTGCTTCTATGAATTCGGTGTTCATTTTGTTGTGCTAATAAGGTATGGTAATTTGAATCAATGCGTGTATGTGCCTAGTATTACCTTGTAGATGATTGACTGACTGAAATTGTTTATTATTTTACACTATAAAATGTTATCTCTAGAATTGTTTTTTTCTTTTATCTTTCCAGGTGGAATATTAGCGTTTCGTTTTGGTCCTAAATGGGTTATTTTTTCTAGTTTATTTGGATGTGCTATCACGGAATTTTGTGTACCAACCGCAGCACGTATTCGTGCTGAATTATTAATCACTTTACGTGTGATACAAGGTCTTCTTCAGGTAAATTATTAAGCGCTTTTTTTAGAATTAATCATTTAATTAATTAATCAATCAATTAAATGGTTGGTAAGATTACTGGTTAAATTGGTTTCATAAAACAACTTGTATTATATGTTAATTTTCATTGTTCACTATAACAAAAGTTTTCAGTTATTTTGTGTCTTTTTATTGTTGATTACAATGAACAAAATCACCCTACCTTGATTATACTTACACATATTCATTCGTGTTTATAATCGAAGTAACATAGATATATTTTTGCTGAAAAATTTTTAAAGAATGTTTGTTCTTCATTCTAAATTAAATTCTAGTCATATTGATAGGTTCATCTTATTGTGTTGATTTGATTCTGGCAATTTGTAACAAACTCAACGTTGTTTATCATTAATTCAAAATGGGCACTTGAATTCTAATAGAGTAGAATATAACCAGTTAGTGTTCAATTATTTTTTTATATCTTGGTATCCATCATTCATTACTCACGAAGACACTAATATACAAGGCTACTTTTCATCACTCATCCACAGAGATGGAGAGATAATTATTGAAATGCTTGGTGGTTGATAGGAAACCCTTCTCATTCTAGGTTTCTTACTAGTTGACACTTGTCAGGAAAGCATACCTACAATCTTGGATTCAAACCCATATCACCTAACTTCATAGTGCAAAGTATTACCACTAAGCTATTCACGCTACAACTGACCTCTTATAACACTGTGGTATTTACAATTGATTGATCACTCAACAATAATCAGTTTTGTGTTTGCCTAATCCTTTCAGTACTGATCAAATTTGATCGAATACTTATTAAAATCCATACTTTGCCAAATACAGTAATTTCATTTAAATTTCTTATAAAACACTAACTGATTATTATCGTAATTCTTGTGCAAAACATAGAGACCGTTTTTTGTTTTATTTCAAATCAACACTGATTGTGTGTTTGTTTTCCAATAATGATTCGTAAATAAAAATGGAGGCATCAACTACTTTCTAGTTTTTTTTAAAGGATTTTATTTCAGCTATTATCCATTTCATGATTCAAACAAACTCTTAAATCAATTAATATTTTCTAAACAATCTACCGTCTCCGTAACAGCACTAATAATTAGCGATCCAAGCTTCATATTACAAAAAATTGCAAGTAATTCGAGAAATATATATACATATTATAGAGAAAATAAACACGATTACACATCACATACCGTAGTTTATTCCTATCAAAAATTACAAAAACGGAAAGCGCCTATAAGTGCTTTTTTCGCTGATGTAGAATATGAATGAAGGAAAGAGGTTGGTTATTAACAAAGTGGTCTTGAGTGCTGTTAGAGGTATGAGGGCGTTTATCACTTCCCGGTTGCCCACACTGTGGAAGGGTTCTTCTGGAGGTACCTGAAAAGGACATTGGATTAGAGGTGGTCTTAGAGACCTGAGAGCGTGACCGTAGTGCTCAAGGGACAACTGCTCGAGGTCGTTCACACACGACATTTTTGTGAGTAATTTTCGTGTTAGCTCTGTACTTGTTGAGACCTTGCCGCCGGAGATGGATATCCGTGGGATGGTTCGAGGTGTGCATTTTTAGGGTCGACCTTTTCTGATCCCACCCTTTCTTGTGGGAAGGGAGCATCACTGTTATGCTGGTTGTCTGAAGGAAACACCTTACTGTTGTCACACCTCTGTACAATCAGCAGTACGACTTCGCCTTCGGACCTTGGGTTTGTTGTTTTTAGTCTTACCGCTCTTCAACCGACCTGCCTTGAATGGTAGGACCTTGAAGAACGATTGCTGCAGCCAATATAGGTCAGTTGCTTCACTACGACAGGCAAACCTGGCCACCACGTTAAGGTAGCAACAACGCTCGGGAATATGAATGGATGATTAAACACTGATTTGTATTTCTCAACGATGAATCCGTGCGAAATTCACAACTTCCCATTAAAAAATACAACAAACTTCCAGGAAAGAAAATTTCTCTAATTCAAGATTTCATTTTTAAAACAAACTAATTATCAATACAATTTGTCAAATACACACTCTTTATTTACTAAACTATGAATTTGTCAGTCCATTTGGATACCAAATTGATATAGATGCCAGTATAGGACCACGGAGATTGTTGAGTTTTTGTTTTGTTTATGACCTGATGTAAGATTGACCACCACTAAAAACTTGAAAGCACTAGTTGTCCGTTTCTTCCTAGTGTGGGGCTCCTCATCAGTGCGTATTCACAACCCCACACGCAAGACTCGGGCCTAGGACCTTCGATCTAGCGCGCAGATACTTAATATCTAGACTACTGAATGGTGCTATTATATAACCTCAATCACTCCATGACATTGAGTGACCATCTTTTATTATCTTTGACGGATAACACTCTAATACCTGACACGGTTGAACTCTACTGGCCTCGGTTTCTCACTAGAACTCCAAAAGTTACCTCTCGAATTTAGTTACTAGTGAGCACATGATAATTATCAGTACCGGATTTTGGAAATTGTTGAGTTCATATTGAGATCATGAACCGATCTAAGTTAGACCACCAATGAAAACCTAGAAGCACTGGACGGCCTTTTTGTCCTAGTATATATATATATATGATTTACAACAACCAAATAATACTCATCGAGTAGTTATATTACGTAATCCTACATAATGACGGACTGATTATAAAATAATATTGAGTAACTGGAAGAAACTAGATTATAAAAATCAAAGTAATTATTCAAAAAATCAAACAGTTGCTACGTTGCATAATATATAAAAAGAAAGAACTAACACAATATTTGGATGAACGATAAGTGTTATAGTAGTTATGTAAGAGTCAAGAGACGAATTCGAGAAAATGTAAATTACAAAAGTGGATGAAATTAAAAATAGTTTAAATGGTTTTGAAGGGAAGGGTTTCGTCGAAGTTCAGCTACAAACTCACTTCTATACCAATGGCCAACGTAGCGAGAATGGTTGTACAAACTTTTTTTTTAATGCAAAGGTTAGATATGTGAACATGGTTTCTGATGGCTCTAGGAATGCGCAAAAGGCGAACTCATTAACCATGCGGCGAATTTGATAGGATAAAGTAAATAATCTTAAAAGCTTTATTTAAGTCAACTTGATCACCTGTGTTCACCAAGTGAGCGAGAACAGAACCTTTAATCACTCTTACCTATCCTTTGCTCAATCAAGACTAATTGAAAAGAAATTTCTTCAGTTTGCTCTTTTTATCATACGTCAAAATATTAATTATAACTATATATATATATATATATATATATATATATATATATATATATATATATCTGTTTAGTTTGGTGGGTGTCAGTCATACTATAGGTCGAGCCAGAAACAGGTGTACGTTAGTCCAAGTTACTATATCATACTAGTGCGTTAAGTTGAAAATAAAAGGACAAATAACAGAAGAATCAAAATATTGTAGTTTCAATAATAATTGGAAAGACTGTACATTGAAAATATGGTACGAAGAGGCAGTATAAAAATGTATATATGAAGAAATACTGAAAATCAAGATTTAGAGAAAGATAAAGAATGAATATATATGCACTGTTGTCAAAAATTCTGATCCATATTACCCAAAGGTTTTAACTACCAATTGCATTTATTACGCGGACTCCAACCATTTGGTCTGTTTCGGCCAACATGATTGATATCAATAGTTAATGACTTCATGAGCTACCATGTTATACTTTTGTCACTCCTAACATTCTTCGAACCTTCTGCTACATTAGCAAATATTACTCATCAAGATAGGCGGTTGTTAAGGATACGTCATATGTGTCCTAGTCACCTCAGTCTAGAAAGATTCGTCACCTCACCAATTAGTTCACCAGTATCGATGATTTTCATACAACATACATACACGTCTGAGAACTAGGAACACTGATCACATTCACACTAAATATCATTTTACTATAGAAAAGATATGTCTCTACTTTTTCCCATCTTAGCGTAAGAGGAAATTCTGATGAAATTCAAACAGTATTGAGTTGTAAAATACACGTTTCATGAATAAACTTTATTTGCCAACTTACAAAAAATAAACAAGTCTACATTTATACAATCGTATGTATTATTGTTAGAGAGAAGATAGACGGAAAAAAACGATTTGTTTGATGTTAACTATCTATTTTCCAAGTGATTACTTATTTTTTATTATGGTACAAAAATCACACTACGTAATTGTTAGTTAATTTGCTTAATATGATTTCTTAGAACAAAACATAATTAACATTGTGATTATCTAAAAGGGGTTTTGCAGAGACTGTAGTAATCTAATCGTTAAATTCATGAGTTAATTAAAGCTAGACCACCTTGGAAAACCTGCTGAGGAGTCCTATACAATCATGAAATGTCCATCCTGTGCTTCCAGGTTTTTCAATGTGGTCTAGCTTTAATCGACCCATGAATTCAACTACTAAATATGACCATCTGTTAAAGGTTTTATTGAATATTGAATTGACGTAATTGAAACCTGATTTAGTGTGGTTCAACGTTTCAATTGTGTCTGTTCGTTTTTTTTAGAAGGAAACGAATTTATCAATCTCATAAACATGACTGATAACCACACTAACAGATAATGACGATAATTGAATGATTCTTGTTCGTTTGTCTTTTTTATGACATTTTTGGTTCTTATTTTTGTGCTTTTATGATAAATTAGTATTTCTGATTAAAAATAATGGTTGATCGTAACTGCTACCATTATTTGGTGTTCAAGCTTGTATATTTGAAGACCTATTCGAGCTATATTGGTTGGAGTATCGGTTATTGTAAATACTACCTTGTTAGACAGATCGGCATGACTAAACTCAGGAAACTCATATTCAGAGAGTGAAGCCGCATTGTTGGCTATACTAGGATGTGACAGCAATAAGGTGTTTTTCTTAGACAACCGGCATTTGCGGTGCTGCTGCCTTCACACAACTGAAGGAGGGAGTTAAAAAAAGTTTTCATTGTTTGTAGTTAGGCTGTGAAAATACGGAGCTATACATCCATATCTGCTCTTTTAAAGGCTGTATATGCATGGCCTCAAGTATTTTCTCCTTGGGTTGTGGGATTTCCTTCTCGGGTCGTCAAAGTTATCTACAGCTCAGTTTTGTTTACACATATTTTCCCAAGTTGTTGTTTGGTGAGATAAATGATTGAGGAAAATACTTTCTTTATAAATGGATCAATAGTTTCCGTAAAGGTTGTAAAAGATTATCTGATCAAGTTGACAACAACACCAAACATGTGTGGTCTTTCGTACCCTCGAAATGATTAATGATGAATAAAATTTGGAAGAAATTACCTTTACTTGCATCAATAGCGAAATGTGAAAAGATAAGGCATCTGAAGAGTCTGATTTTTGATGATTTCCATGGACATTTTGAACAGTGGGAGCACAAGTATAACAAGTATGTTGTCACAAATGAAGAGTGTTTTAAAAAGAAAAGAAGGGGAAAATATTAAGTGCTCATTAAATGTTTTAAAAAAGCTCATCTCGCATATTTACTAAACGGACAACATAGTGTCTATACTGGCTTAACAGTTAATACCAGGATAAATACTTCATTTTATTTGGAAATCGTCAATTCGGTATTCTCAGAAGCTCTATCAGAGCATTCATTGATTCACAAATCCCCATATATCAGTACAATCTGATCAACTGATTCCAGAAAACTCTTGTCTTTGGCTACAATTTCGCCAAAGAAACCACTTATTTGAACACTCTAGAATACTATTGCCAACCACTTCATTCAATAAATCACTACAGATTTCCCGCCTATATGTGATGTTATTCAATCATTCGGGTTCTTGAAATCAGACATCAACCACCTAATTGTAAATAATGATAAATTTTGACGTATTTATATTATATACCTTGACTCAACTGTAATCTTGTTGAAGTTTGTATGTGTGTTTACTGAGCCCTACTTTTGCATTAGATTAACGATCCATTATTGTTACTCAGTTTTCAGTGGTTCTGAAGCTCTGATGGTATTAGTCCGTGTGGAGGATCATTTGTAGCTGGCTTATCCAAAAGGCCTAAAAGTAGTCTATTATTTAAATGCATGTTTCTAAGTCGTTTTAATTTCATCAGATAAATTACATAATAATAGATAAGCTGCTTACTGTTGTGAATCAAATTAATTTTCACTGGTTGAATTTCTTTTCTTTAGTAGGATGATTGTATTCCTAGTTACTCTGATTAGCTTTTCGAGAATATATATATATAGGTGTTGTCTTACATAAGCTGGATGATTTATTCACGAAACTTTGATTGTAATTCTGGTCAACATACTTTAGAGAGAAATGAGCTATTGGAGCGTATTTGTGTATCTGTACAGTTAGGGATATGCACTTGTGTCTGTTCATTGTCCACTACTCACAATGAAAATGTTATTGAAACCAGAGTATTAGACAAAATCTTATTTTTTTGCTAAATGTACTCTATTTATCTAAGTTGATTGGTAGGTGAGTGTAAATATCGTGATCCTACAAGAGATCAATGGCTATCCGAATCACTTATTGGTGATAGTGTCTCAGACTGTGAACATGGCCGATACGGATTGTAATCACACTGAAAATATCATTTACTTCGAAATTGATGATACACCTTTACTGACGAGTGATGGTTTGGGTGAAACAAGAGTGAAACGGGATATTTTTTTTACTATCATCAACCATCTAACATCATTGTTTACATTAATGCGTTCTGAACGTAATTATTGTTTTGCCACCGCATAAAGTGAATAAGTATATAAGCTAGGCATTGTATAATGTTATGTATTGTAATCTTCTGCCTAATCTACACTAGTCAGCATTGTGTCACATTGTGTGTGCTCTTAGTTACTTAACCCGTATTAATTACAACCACGTGATTATCGTAGTTATATCATATGATAACTGTCGAAATTATTCAAAACACTCACTGTTTAACAAGTTTTATCAATAAATGAGAATACATAATCGTTGAACTCCTTCTATCCATCTCTTATCTTTAGTCTAATAATTCTTGGTTAGTATTTATTTATATTACTGGATATCATGTTCAGATGCTGCAAAACACTTCATGAGGATTAGTTGTTTTATCCATATCCCTCCTAGTGTGTGTGTGTGTGTGTGTTTGATTATGATTTAACAATCTGCCATATTTTTCATTCATTTTTACTGAATTTCATCTGAATGTTTGCGGATGTTCATTAAGATAATAATAATAATAATAATAATAATAATAATAATAATAATAATAATAATAATAATAATAATAATAATAATAATAATAATAATGAAAAATGTATTACAGCCAAATTCGATTTTGTTTATATGAAAATATGTTGATGTTTTATTTTGAATGTCAATCTATTTAGATTTGTCTATCCTGTCAAATTTATTGTGTTCTTTGTTTAAATTGATAAACCAGTCGGTAAAATGTTTACCGTTTTCTCACTCGATTCATTTCTATGCTGTCTTGGCGCTACAGTTAATGAAATATGAAAAAATATCTATCTAACTTTTGAAGGTTACGCACATCATAGGCAAGCCTACAGTTAGTAACAACTTGGGACATGAAACAAGATTTTTCTGATGAGACTTTAATTCATAGGCAACATATGAGTGACATCAATGTAACCTTGAGAAAATTCACCAACTTAATAGGGCCTAAAGAGTGTTGTAAGTTAGTGTGAGAAATCAGAATCGGGATTTATTGTTTGAAGTTAAGGTTATGAATTAGGATTCGAGTTTTCATCACGAATTGACATTATCCATAATCCCAAAATGTTATTTAATAATATGAATGGATGAATTTTGCGTCAAAACCCAAACCTCTCTATCTTAAGTCGGTTTGGTTCGCACAAAAGTTATAGTCTCGCTGGTTGTTCAGTTCAAATCATCAAAATCATCTATTGCACATATCAAATTAATTTCAGTTAATGTAGTTTTACAATTCACCACTGAGTTCACTACCGTTTACATTAACATGTAAATATGCATATCTGTCTTTCATTGATAATATCTATCAATTGTAAACGAGAATATTATACACATCTGATGTAAATTTCTGAACATCTTGGTTGTGTTACAAATAATTATTTAATTTCTAAAAGTCTAGTCAAAAATTCATGTTCATATTATAGCTTGACCCGAATAGCATATGAATAATATCCTTACATGATAGTTTTTGATAAAGTAAACAACATGGATGACCCTGGAGATTTCGAATGACTGGGATTGATCTATTAGCCAGTTAAAATATAGTGCATGGCGATGGGGTAATTTATAAATAAAATGACAACATTACGAGGATAAGGAGTTCTGATATGAATAATGTACATTTCCATGCGAGTTGTTTCTTCCAATAAAGGAAAAAACGTTAAGGTTTTGATTACGAATTTACATCAGCTATAGTACAACGATTAATGTTACATAGCTACGCTACAGAGCAGTATCGTCAAGTAAATTTGATTGAGACATTTCAAATGTCAAAAAGAAACCTGGATAAACTTCCTGACTAGCAATTACTTAAGCCTATTATTTGTGATCTAGGTTGAAAATAAAATGATTAATTCGCAAAGTAGTTCTTGTCAGTCATCCTGTCAATCAATGGGTTTACTATAAATAACTTAAGGCCATGTACAAATGTGCATCAGTTCAAGATACAACATTTCACAGCATTACAGTGAAGAAATTAATTTAAGGTGAAGAAGTGCAGAAATTGATAGGCGAGTATAGTCCTATCATGTGCCTGTGCTTACATCATCTCAAGGTCGAACAGTAGACGAGATATTATAAGCGAGACACACTATTGGAGTAAGTCAATCATACACTTACTCAATATTTTAATAAACTTTTGGTTTAAAAGGGCATTCACTTATATATTTATGATTCAGTGTACATAATAATTCGTTACTAAATCAGGTATCAGAACTCAATAGACCAGTCATTTTCATATTCTTCTTTTGTGATCTGATTCAAGCATATTTTCTGTCTTTCCTCTTTCTTCTTCGTATTCATTCATTATTACCATACAGATGTAACAATAACTAAAATGTAACAGAATTGTAGAGCTAACCAAGTGTTTATTGAGCGATGCAATTGAGTACCTTTAGATCACAGTGAATGATAATTTCACCATAAATTATTAAACTTGAAAACGCAAATCACTAGATTCTGATTCGTCGTTGTTACCAAAGTTTTAAAAGTCCTATATGTATAACCTGTTTCAGGTTATTATCTCGAACTAGGAGGAAATAATTGCTCAATCCCCTTAGGTTGTACACTGGTCTTTTAGCTAGTCCAAACAGTCCATGATCGAATTCGTTTTTAAAAACTCTGTCTAATAAATATCCAGGTTTGTCTTAAAGTGAAATAACCTGTTTTCCATAAAAATCTTTTTATCATCCTCTTCTACATGAGTTTAATATATACGATCAGACTATGCTGATTCATACCAAACGTTTCAAATAAATTGATACCTGTTAGGTGGTTCAAAGTAGTCGGGATGGAATCATGCTAGACTTAGGTGTCGTGTTTGCTGGAATTCATCAGCAAGGTGCACCTACAGTCTAAGGAGAACTTATATCCTCTGTAAAAATCGAACCTACCAGCCTCACAATCTCAGACACTACAAATGAGCTATTCACTCCATGGCTAAATGACCACCTGTTTGTCCGTGATGTTCCCGATTGATTGACCTAATCTCTCAACACAGTTCACGTGATATCGAGTCATTCAGACCAGTGATCATACTGAAATTTGTCGACAGAATTTGACCAGCTACTTAAGGTGATTGGGCAAATATGATATTGGTCACTGATACTCGATGATCAATCAATCAAGTTCCATATGATCATTAGTTTATTTATCTTTTCATTCCATTTTGTTTACCTCATTTTTATTCCGTAAAAGGGTGTAGTGATGCCGAATACAGGGTGTTTAGTTGGAAATTGGTCGCCACCAAGTGAAAAAAGTCGATTTACTACATTCGTTTTCTCAGGTTTGATGATTTTATTCAATAATGTTTTTATTTTTCACGAAACTTTAAAAAAATTATTTTTATTTGCTTCATATACTTCTGAATTATGTATAAATATAGTATTGTGGAAAAAATGTTTATTTTACATTAGTAGATTGTGAATTATTATGTCACAGTTTTATTATTATTTCTATGATTGTCGATATAGAAGATTTGTAGGAATTGTACAATTTGTAGTTCAGTTCACGAGTCATTGAAAACTAGGTAGGACTAGATGTCTGTTTTGTTCTCACTATATCGCGCTCATTAACTCATCACAGATCACACCTATGATGTTCATGGTTTATAAGAAGCTGTTTACTCATTAACTACTGCCTGCACACTCAGTGGTTTACATTACTGACGTTAGTCAACTCGCGATACTACTCAACCATCATCTGCTGCGATCTCATCCAAAATGTTTAAACTATAACTGTCGTGGCTTCTTTTATTATATTTTCTGGGTCAGATACATGATTACAATAATGATATTTGTAGTGTTAGATAATTCTGATTATTATTAATTTCATTATTTTTACACGAATTATGCACCACAATAGAAAACCTGATATACTTCAGGGTTAATAAGAAAACATATTAAAATTATCTAGAGGCGCTTATGTAATGTAAGGATACTCCACATTCTCTTCAGTAAGATTTGGGATGAGGAACAAGTACCAAAAGACTGGACAGAAGGACTCCTGATTAAAATACCGAAGAAAGGCGATCTCAGCAAGTGTGATAACTACAGGGGCATCACTCTTCTCTCAATACCGGGAAAAGTCTTCAACAGGGTATTGTTAAACAGGATGAAGGACTGCGTAGACGCCCAACTTCGTGACCAACAGGCAGGATTCCGTAAGGATAGATCGTGTACAGACCAAATCGCAACTCTACGGATCATTGTGGAACAATCAATTGAATGGAATTCATCACTCTACATCAACTTCATTGACTACGAAAAAGCATTTGACAGCGCGGACAGAACAACACTATGGAAGCTTCTTCGACACTACGGCGTGCCTCAGAAGATAGTCAATATTATACAGAATTCATATGATGGATTAAACTGCAAAATCGTGCATGGAGGACAGTTGACAAAGTCGTTCGAAATAAAGACCGGTGTTAGGCAAGGTTGCTTACTCTCACCCTTTCTCTTTCTCCTGGTGATCGACTGGATCATGAAAACGTCAACATCTGAAGGGAAACGCGGGATACAGTGGACATCTAGGATGCAGCTGGACGATCTAGACTTCGCAGATGATCTTGCTCTCCTATCGCAATCGTAACAACAAATGCAGGAGAAAACAACCAGTGTAGCAGAAGCCTCAGCAGCAGTAGGGCTCAATATACACAAAGGGAAAAGCAGGATTCTCCGATACAACACAGCATGCACCAATCCAATCACAATTGACGGAGAAGATTTGGAACATGTAAAAACCTTTACATGTTTGGGCAGCATCATTGATGAACATGGTGGATCTGACGCAGATGTGAAAGCGCGGATCGGTAAAGCAAAAGCAGCATATCTATAACTGAAGAACGTCTGGAACTCAAAGCAACTGTCAACCAATACCAAGGTCAGGATTTTCAGTACAAATGTCAAGACAGTTCTACTGTATGGGGCGGAAACTTGGTGAACTACGAAAGCCGCCACCCAGGAGATACAAGTGTTTATTAACAGTTGTCTACGCAAAATACTTTGAATCCGTTGACCGGACACTATTAGCAACAACGTACTGTGTGAGAGAACAAACCAGATCCCAGTGGAGGAAGAAATCAGGAAGAAGCGCTGGAAGTGGATAGGACACACATTGAGGAAAGCACCCAACTGCGTCACAAGACAAGCCCTCACATGGAATCCTGAAGGTCAAGGGAGGAGAGAAAGACCGAAGAACACATTACGCCGAGAAATGAAAATAGACATGAGAAAAATGAACAAGAATTGGATGGAACTAGAAAAGAAGGCCCAGGACAGAGTGGGTTGGAGAATGCTGGTCAGCGGCCTATGCTCCATTGGGGGTAACAGGCGTAAGTAAGTAAGCTTACGTAATGTATCCATTACAAGTGTGAAATGACTTTTAAACTTTGGTGTTAGTGAAAATATCCAGTTTGTCCTGTCTTCTTTGTTTGAAGATCATCAATTTACTGCCTAGGCAAACGCTGAAGAAGTGGATTTAGAAAAATCTGTAAGTACGGTCCAAGCAAAACGCTTGTGGGTGAGAATATCATCTCCAAAAGCTGTCTCCAATTTGGCTGACACCTGACCAAAAAGCTGAGAAGAATCATCGTTCTACGAGTACATCATTTGTTTCTGAAACCACAAAGTGACAAATAACAAAAAAAACGTGAAACTATGGTGTAGATAAAATACCTGATTTTTAAACACATCCAGTGGTTTTTGGAATGTTGGAAATGCAGATGCGTTAAGTGTATTACCATAAATAGGAAATATTTTGAAAGGTTTAAGGTTGATCAGTGCTAAATTCTGTTCATTGATGATTTTTGTTAGTGTGGGGTGGTTTGTGGGGATGGTGAAATTTCCACAGCTTACGTCACAGACTGATCTTGGTTAGAGTAGGGAGCTGTTCTGCCCTAGTGTAGGATGGTTCGACAATCCTCATCATCGACCTCATCCGGGGATCAAACTTAGGACCTTCAGTCAAACATGCAGGAGCTTAACCTTTATACCAATGAGCTAGCTACCGATGGTGCACACGCCTAACTTCAATCAATTCACAGTACCACATATCCATCTCCCATCGTGGATGTACACTGTTGAGGAGTCCTCTACTACGATGAAACAGCTATCCAGTGCTTTCTGATTTTTAATGGTTTTCGACTTAGGAAGATCAGTGCGTTACGTAAACTATGGTAATGAATTGTGTTGAGTTTAGAGTCTTTTATAAGAATATTTATGTTTAAGCATACAGCTGAGACAAATTGAATTAAATAATTTTATACCACTAAAAAGTTGACGTTCTAATGAATGTATTGACATTTGACAGAGTTCATGTCACGAATTTATACAGAAGTGGAATTAAACTTTCTGAAGTTTTCATTTAGCTACCTAAAAATATTAAGTAGTTAAAATATTATACAGTATCAGCTAGCGTTTTTGCTTAACAGTCGTTAGTAATGTGTACTTGTAAGTACGTTACATTTTTTTAGAATTTACTCATTTCCATTTAACATATATTAAATGCATATCTTTCCTGAATTTAATGTTAGCCTGCTGTATTCCAAAAAAAAATTTCCTAAGGTTTAGTATTTGGTGCTGTTATTGGTCAATCATTGGCTGGTGTAATTTCACAACCAAGATTAATTCATTCGACAAATTTAACAACTCCAATGTATATTTCCTATTGGCCTTATGTTCATTATATTTATGGTGTTCTCGCTGTAGTATTCTCTGGAATTTGGGCTATTTTAGTATTTAATAATCCTAATCAACATCCATGGATAAGTTCAACTGAGAAACAATATCTTTTGTCAGCATCAATAAATAATTATTCTGAAAATGATAAAAAGTCAGTAAGTTGAACTTTGTTTAGATATAGATTTTGTGTAAATTGGTAAAGGTTTGTGATTTCTTATAGTTAATTTTCAGATGTGTGATTGGTCAGTTTCTATATTTTTAGCATGAACTCAGTAACTTGGTGAAAAACACAGTGTACTGAATTTAAGTCTTGGGGTGAAAATCAACAACGAAATTCGGATACTTCTGTCTAGTGATTTCCAAATTAGACGAAATGCATATCACAGATTCTACTTCTAGTCACCACCCAACTTTAATGTTTAAAGCTTGGAAACAGTTAACCCAAGTAAACTAAGCTGATATTAGACCTAGAATACGGTTAACCTAACACGAGTTTAAATACTTGCCAGGGGATGGAATAAATTCATAATTCTAAGGGCTTTGAAGTGACTGAAAGTAGTATTGAACTCCATCTGATGCATTGTATTATGTCATTAGGTAATTTTTAAATGTGTTAATTATGCATAGATTGTGTCATTATTGGGACCCTATTTATATTCGTGCAGTTTGGTTACATTTTATGAAGAGTTATCATCTGGAACCAGTGACCGTTAACGTCTAGTATCGCTATTATCGTTCAGCCATCTCATTGAATCCAGTTGAGTTGAAGAATTCATTGAGAATGGGTTTGATCATGGCAACAAGGTAATTTTAAGTGATATGAGAGGTATAGGGGATGTTCTCGATTCCCAGTCCTTCCTACTGTAGAAGTATACTTCTTTTTAAGGTACTATAAGAAGAAACTGGGTTACGGGTGAGCTCTATGACCTGAGGAAGTGACTCCACATCCCAAGGGACAACAACCCAAGGTTCGCCGTACATGGTGTTTTTGTGAACAGTTTTGGATGTGTTTGCTCCCCATTTGTAACGCTTTAAAATTAGAGAAAGGAATCCACTTGGCAAGGTGAAGTGTTCTATTTTTAGGGGTGGCCGTTTCTAACCCCATTTTCAGTTTAAATGAAACATTAATGCATATGCTTATTACCCAAGAGAACCATTTCACTGGTGTCACGTCCGAGTATAGTCAACAATGCGATGTCGCCTCCAGACCATGAGTTTGCTGCTTTAAGCCCTACTGTTCTCCAGCCAACACTCTTGACAAGGTACGACCAAGAGGAATGAAAGTTTCAGTTAATATAACTCCATTAGTTCTTCGCAATATCCAAGTCTGACCACCACATCAAGGTAGCAATCAAGTCAGTTGAATTGCTATCGAGTATTCTGTTAAGCTGATGACTTTCACCTCACACCTTGCAAAGTTAAGTTTGTGTCAAAGCTTGGAAAATTCAACATAACAATAAAATAAATCAGTCTGAGCTACAAATTCCTTTGTCGATTATTCGATTTTGAATTTTTTTAGTTGATCTGGATGTTTTTGACGATGATTTAAAGAAATACAAAATTATTTATCCATCTTTTATTATTTATAGGGAAAAATGACAAGTAGTGTCGTGAATTCAACAGATTCAAGAAGGTATTTACTTATTTCATTTTATTAATTTTTGTGTCATAAATTGCACAATGATCGTTCAATACGATTGGTGATAACTTTTACTCTTGACATACCTGAACTCTACCATTTACGTCTTCTCACTAGAACTTCAGGGACGATTTGAAGTAAATGGCGATTTAACTGACTGAAATCAGCCTTTAAAGAACACAGCCTACACATTAAACTAATTTACACTAAACACTCTCAAATGAACTTTATTAATCAGCTCACTAGTGATTTCAAGCTGTTACTGAAGTTCTAAAAAGAAGACTCAACTGGTCAGAAATGTTGAGAGTGAAACAATTGTCACTAATGCATCGAATTATCGTCACACAATATTACAGATTGAAGTCAGAATTATATTATTGGAGAGCGAACCAGTAGTTGCAATGATTTAGTGTTCGCCAGTAGACCAGAATGTCGCGGATTCGATCACTGAATGGGTCAAGAGTGTTCACTGCTGACAACTCCCAAATTAAGACAGAACAATTGTACAATCCTTTCTGGTTCTCTACAGCAACCCGACCGAGATTAGTCCGTAACAAATATGACTTACAAATTAAAGTGGATTCCTCAAGATCGCTTCATTTCCATTAAATCATTGTTTAATGAAGAAGATATTAAAAAATTTACAATAGGTTGGATCGCTTTATTTTTAATCATGTTACATTTGCCATTGTCTACAGTTCTTTAACAAGTAATATCAACAGAATTAGGAGTAACAATAACAACTGAACCAAGCATGTAGAACTGAGTACACAGACATCTGGTTTATACAAGAATAATATAATAAATTTATAGTTTAAATCCAGTTAACCGACCGGACGGTTATATGTTCTGACAAGATGTCTGATTCCTGAATGTTAATTCGAAATAGAACCAATCACTTTCTTCATATCATTTGGTTACTAAATACCTGAAATTAGTTAGTGATAGCATACATCCCTACTGTAGTGAAGGAGAACACAAGTGTGGACAATCTAATGAATTTGAATACAAAATTACAGGACATCTTAGTAAAATCTGAGAACTATACAGTAAATACTTCATTTACAAAATGTCAACCGATTGTTTCAAATTCGACTGTTCCTTTTGCAAATATCAGTCAATAGTCTCAGACTTCATTGTTCCTTCATTTACACAGCAATCATTCACTGTTCTCATTCTATTTTCTTTGATCTTCTTAAACTTCTGCCGCTAGGCATTTCACTTTCGATTGATGATACATACTACTTATATTTGTCGACAGTAGCATACACCACACTACTAGCTAACCCTGAGGTATAAAAGATTCTAAGCATCGAAAGAACATCTCAGAACTGTAAAAATTAAGAGTTATATTGATGTGATTACGTAAACTGAATTCTGAAAACTACAAAGAAAGTTTAGGATTCACTGAATAACTCAGTGGATTACTGAACATTACCAGGGATGTGACTTACTTTATGCTTAATCGGCACTAGTTTCATCATCTATTCAAGTTTACATAATCAAAGACTTTAATTTGATTGATGGTGACTTCAGCTTGAAAATGGATTTAGGTTCTGACTGGCTGGAATGTGGCTTAAAACATATGAAGCATGGTAAGTTATTAACCGCTTAGAATGTGATGTTATATGAAATGAAAGTAAACTAGCGAGATCAATATACATAAGAACAGTTCACATTGTTAATGAATTCTGTCATAGATACATGAATGAGTATATTACTAAATCATATACAGTTTTTCATTTATGAGGACTTTTATCTTCTCATTGGTGATGTTGAGGTCTGCAATCGATCAGTTCCTATCGATATACGTGCATCCCAAACTATTTTGAAAGGTCTTTTATTATGATTGGGTTAAAGTTCTAATGTGTCCATCAAGACTGTAATGCAGGCACTTTCGACTAATGAGTCCCAAATGAAACAAAATACGTATCCTGTGTTTCAATGTTAACCACTATTTAACTTTAATGGAGATCAGCCTTTTTTAATTAGGACTGTTTTATGGATTAGGTGACCATAATCTTCATCTGTCTGGTTGAATAAACTCTAAAATGTGAATGATTCACATTTTATTAAGACGCTTTATTAAACAAAATTGGTCATTTCTACAGTCACATATGTATTTTATAGTTTACAATACGAAGTGACCTTAGAAAACTATTGAAAACCAGGAAGCATTGCTCTGCTATTTGGTCCTAGTATGAGGCTCCTTAGTAATGAACGTCAACGACCATCCTGGTACCACTACGGACCCCCTATGATAATAATAGTCCTGTGCTCACTGATCAATAAGTTCGAGAAGTGATTCTCATAAGTCTAGTGAGCAGCGGTGGCAAATATAGTTTAATCATGTTTAGTGTAAGTCAGTAAACTGTCTATGATATTGGAAGATGGCTTAGCAATATTTTGAAATGATTCATATTAGATATCAAAACCAGTGAATGCCGGATCAGTGGTCTAAATATTATGAGCTGGCCTGGAGACCAGATGGTTGTGAGTCCAACCCTTGATGGCGTTGTGGGTGCACAGTGCTGAGGAGTTCCATTGTGTAAGAATATAGCTGTGCAGCACTCCTCAAAGTACTTCCTGATCTCGAATGGCTGTGGAACCATTTTCAATGCACGGATTATATCACAAGGTTAAAAAATCTCCAGAAAACCCCTAAACTGATTAGACTCTGCTCTATCCACTTTGTTCTAGGCAAGTGGATAATACCATTATTCCTCATACCTAGAGTGTGACTCATGCTCAGTTATCTGGTGGAGGACTTTATTTTCGCAAAAATTGAACAAAAAATGTCAATAGTCCCTCTTAAATTTAACCTGGACAATGTAATGGCTATTACATATATCCTTCAGGATGGCTTTTAAGTAAAGCAAATTGCCTGTTATACTAGTCTTTTTAACAGGAAATATATATGGTAATAGCATGTTATTCATTTTTCATATTCATACTATTTCGCCATAGCTTTGTTGATTATGATCTTTGAATTTATTTTTTCCTTCATATGAAATTTACTCTTTTTTAGTTTAGATAATATTTCAGTTGAAACGAGAGTTTTACATAAAAATCCAGTTCCATGGCGTCAAATATTTAAGTCAGCTCCTGTTTGGTCAATTATAATTTGCCATGTTTGTTTCAATTGGTCTTTCTATTCGTTAATTACATCTATGCCTACTTATATGTGTCGTGTCCTAGGATTCAGTATGACCGAAGTGAGTCTTAATTTACATCTACATGTTTAGTTATAAACTCAATTTCAATATACCTACTAAGTGTGCTGGTGTCAAATAGAATCTCTTAAGTTAACTATGTGGGGGGTTTAACCTACATCAACAATACTAATGACTTCCGCTTAACCAACAAAACTAATGACCATCGACATAGGCAGTATATCCAAACGCGCATTAGTTCGCACAGATTCTTGTATTTGCCCTAGTCCTTAATAAGAATATATGAACTGTCAACCGATTTATTCTCTATTGCTATATCTCAAAAATTCACATGATAATATGAAATCAGTTACATGACTACAATACACCATAATAGAAAAGTTAAATCGGTGCATTACTATGTCATTTGTGATTCAGAACTGAGTAACAGATGCATAACTAATAAACGGTAATTTGTGGAATGTAAAATGTATGCTAACCTTTGATTGATTAAGTGAAAGTTTACCAGGAGAGTGGTATAAAAATACCGTTAACCAAATGCTTATTCGCGTACTACATCCAACAGTCTAACACTTGAGTACAGTGTGTACAATGTTCATCCTGTTAAATTGGCTCACAGTTCAGATTAGTCCATAGAGTTCAATCATCTGTGTAAGGGAACTAGATAAATATAACGTAGGTCCATAATCAGGGATCAGTCAGTTGTAAAAATCTCATTTCGAAACGGGTTAACTGCATCCTGAATGGTTTAGTGGTAATATTTCAGACAATGAAGATGAATGATAGGGATTCAAATCACATCAATCCCTTCAAGATTCCAAGTACCCCTTGATGAAGAGTATCTACTAACAAGAAACCTAGGTTAGGCAAAGTATCCTGCCAACTACTTAGAATGATTTCATTAAATCTGCATTCTTTCTACTCAACTCAATATTTGAAAAAAAATCATTTTCCTAAGTTTTTCCTTAGAAACAATTAAATTAGGTAGCTGTTTATTCAAGTTTGTTGATAAATCTTGTCACCATTAGGGATATATAATACATAGTTTTTAACAGATTAGAAATTTCATCATTTCATTTTCTTTCGAAAGATTTCCTTGCTATTCATTTTTTTTCTCTTTACAACTTATTTATTCTAGTAACCATTAATTAATTAAACTAATAGTAAACATTACTGTGTTGAAAAACAGTTTGTTCTTACCTTAAACCTACCCTGGTAATATTGACTTATTATCCAGAGTGATTAGGTTTTGAATTGTGTTCACATTATTATTATTACTCTTATTATTATCCTTATCTCCTCTTACCCCATTTCCAGTCTGAATGACCTTTGATTTTTATATATAAATGCTCTTAACAAGTATATGTTTGATCAGATTGTTCGAAATGTTTTAAACATTACTGTGTTCTTTGACAAACTTATAAAGAATACATTGTATATTTTTAATGATTTCAAGTGATTATTCAACATAAAACCGTATAAATTGAAGATAAACATTAACTACTAAAAACGACTCTTAATGTTCTAACGTTTATATCATGTCAAATTAGAATAAACAGATATATTTTTAAAGTTTAAGTTATCTGTAACTTTTTCAATGTCTTGTATTTATGTTGTGTTAAGAATTATTGATTGAGATCATGAAACGATTGATGTTAGACCACCGTTGGAAACCTGGAAGCACTGGACGGCCTTTTCGTCCTAGTTTGGGACTCCTCAGTGGTGGGCACCCATGATCTCGCTCGCGGGATTCGAACCCAAGTCCTTCAGTCTCGCGCGCAAACGCTTAACCTACTGGACCACTGAGCCGGCATTCAATGGTGTTAGTGTCTAACATCAACCAATCCAAAAAATGAATTATAGTTCTAGACGACTTTGGGTTGTTACCAAATTCCTGAAAGTGACAGGAAAGGATAGATTGTAATTTGTCCGTCTGTGCTACAGATACTGATTTTCGTAATCGCACACAAAAAACAGCAAAGTAAACTGTAACGTGTTCGTTTACTTTTCTTTCTCCAGTACTCAGCCGCGAACTCTTTGCAAGAGCTCTTTTCTTTTCACGAAGATCCTAATGGTTTCTCCTAATTCGTTGGGTGGGAATGATAATATCTGGCTTGTTTCCATTTATTTGATAAGTGGATGCTGCATATAAGGGCATAATATTTTCAGAGGGGATTTCATTTCATGCACTAACTTTCACTTTGTCAGTTCTTTTTATCTGATAAGTTAGGATAGGCTATGGTGGCGTATTCCTGGAAGAAATATATAAGTAACTTTAGATGACTGAAATGAAATCCTCAGTAAAAATTACACTCTGACATGTAGCACTGATATTTATTAAATAAATGGAGGAATGCTCGGAAATGCTATATGCTAAACTTTTGTTGGATACCGATAAAAGGATGGTTGTCCTAACACTAATATGTTTAATTTTGCGTTGTTTTGCTGCACCTAATCTTTTTTACAAGTGGAAAAATCAATTTATGCACCTTTTTTCCTTGTTTTTTTACGTTATTGAAAAAATAACAATTTTTACATAGAATGGTCTCTTATCATCTATTCCGTATATTGCACAATCGGTTGTCGGTTTATTTGCCGCCTATCTGTCGGATTTTGTAATCGCTAAACGATTTTTATCTACCACGTCGGTACGTAAATTAAATAATGTTATAGGTAAGTAATCATTTCTTGTACCCTTTGTTGATGATGGCAGTGAGAACCACTTGCTGATTTTTAAACGAATAATACGCTTTTTGTAAGCAATGATGGATAGTGGCTTGCAGTGGAATCCGGGACGCGTGTTTCGTTCTATTTGGGACTCGTCAGGTGGGTGTGCCTGCATCTCAGGGTTGATGTTCACTCTTGGACTCGCACCCAGTACCATTCGCTTCAAACGCCATCGCGTTATCCACTTAGCTACTGAGTCCTGATGGCCACTTGCTTGTGTGATGGGATGAATTTAAATTCACTTGGAATAATACTCTTGTTGTGCCTGCGGAGTTACTTGGCTGACTTATGCTTAGTATTGAAAACCCCGAATCTGACGTTTTTTAGTGAGAAAACGAAGATTGATTATATGAATTTATTCAACCTCCAAAACAAATCAAACGCATATCTGAGTACAAGAATTCGATGTGACTTTCCATAAAATCAGTTTAACACTCATAATTGTATAATTTGAATTAAGTGACATCTAACACCAATTAACCAACAACTTAGTGAGTGAATACATATATACAATATCATACAACTAAGTATTCTTTTTCAAGATGTATTGCAAATAATCGATTTTATATGCCATTTGCAACCGAATTGGTTAAGTCATTGCTTGCTATATCAATTGTTTCAGACAATGAAATTGTGAAATTTTCGGTTAAAGGGGAATACAATTATCTCATTGATGTCAACTATTAGAGTTTTGCTACTTAGAAAATACCGAACTTGATTGACTGAATCAGTTTGACATTTGCTAATGTTGATTTTAGACAATACTAAACGGGAATTCATAGTTATTTGCAAAGGTTTGTTTTTTCGAATGGTTAATGTGAAAGATTTCAGTTGATCAGTCCGTATAGGAATATGTACATCGCATCTTGAACGGATTCCCTAGATATTGCCCGTTAGTCACAAGCTTTTATTAAAGTTGGATAGTGAGTAGCAATGAAATCCAGGACACTCATTTGTTCCTGTTTGGGTCTCTTTGGTTGGATGTTCCTTCATCCCAAAGTCAATGTTCACTCTGAAATTCAATCTTATTAACTTTCGCTTCAAACCTCAATATATTACACAATAGAGTCGGGTCATATAATTAATTTCAATGGCACAAGAATTCCAAAAAAAGGTTTCAATTCTTAGAAAGAGAGATTAATAGCAGAAGCTCTACACATATGGGCGAATTCAAATAGTATTAATAGGAGAGATGCAATACAATTAGTTGCACCATGGCAACTAATAATTAATAAGTAAACCTGAACTCCTTATTCCATTGAATACATCACTTATTATCTGAATAACAGTAATTATATTTAACTGTTCTAATCAGTTGTCTTTTCTGAATATGGTAAATGATTAACTGCAACAGTAAAAATAACATAATCATCCATTCCTCCATCTTTATTTTGTTTATTCATCATCATTTTATCCATTCTATGACATCTTAAAAAAACCATAGATCAGAGGCGACAAGTAGTCAAGGAAATTTCTTCTTACACCTCAGATACACTTACACAGAATACACACAATGTGTTATCTTAACACACTTCCCCTTACACAGAATACACACAATGTGTTATCTTAACACACTTCCCCTTACACTACGGCAAATATGAATTTAAAGCAATTAGTCCCTTTTATAAATTTTGATAGAACAATGAGAAGACGGAGTTGATCTGAAAAATGTGATGTATTTGCACTATATATTTCGAACAATCTGGCCACACATATACTCGTCAGGGCATTTTATATGAAAATTAATAAAAGTCAATTAAATGAAAGTTCAAGTAAAAAAGTAACAAAGGGAGAGAAAGAATAAGAAATTGTCACGTTATCCTAGAATGACTTAAGGATTACCAAGGTAAAGTCAAGGTTACGACAAATTGTTTTTGTACACATAAGTGGGGTTTAAATTTACGAATAGCCAAGGCTTCAATAAACTTAAGAAGTCGTCTTTGACAATCTCTATAAAAGCTGTATTAATGTCAATTTTATGAGCCGTTTCAATTATATGTTTCGCTATCGATGAACCTGGTTTTCTACCTCCCACGTTGATCGGGTCATTTGACACACATTGACTTTGAAGCCATCTAGGCACATGCTCAATGACCCTTCATTGCATTGATTGGATGACATATTTGGTACATAGTTAACCGTGGAACCATATACCTATCTATATTTGATTATATTTCCTTGAAAGGGATTGGGCCAGATTACCGAGCAAAACGTTGGATTTACTTCGAATTCATTCACTGAGATTTTACGAATACACTCTCCCTCCTTAAGCCATACATTAGTTTCTGTTTGAACATCAACAATGGAATGCAGGTACATTCAGTTGATCAGTTCCAAAAAATGGAACAAGATGTACCTACCTGGTTCCACTGTCAGTTAAGATTTTTGTACTCTTTAAAAGATTATTAAAAAGACTCAGCTATCATTCTTTATTTACCAGTGGTGATTTCTGGTTAGTTAGGAGGTATTCATTCACAAATAATTACTTTTGACGTTCCTTCTGACAGAGCCGTCTAAATCTGTGAAGTTAATCCTGCTTTGACTGGGTAAGGTTCAGTAACTCACAAATAAGCTAAATGGTTTAATCATAGAGTTTTCATTATCATTATGGACAATATCCACTTCATTGATTAAATGATCTTCGAGCTAAATAGTCAGTTGAATGTGATTCACTGGATTCTGGCTTTGTGATCCATAGGTATGATGCTTACAATAACATCTAATTTGGTCCTGCTTAGGACTGGATTTTAGTCGTGTATACTACTGAGGAGGAGTCCGAAATGAATTTGTGACAGTTACCTAATTGGTCATATCTAAAGCGGTTCAAATAAATTTTCTTTTCTTTTTTCAGTAGAATGATAAGTAACTTGGTGTAAATCAGTGACCTCAATATTTCATTTTCTCCTAATTTAGTAACCATTGTTATAAAAACTATTTATTGAATGATCATGTTGAACTTTTTCTTTCCGCTTTCATTTTCTTTTCGTCTCGATCAACCTAGCCTTGGGTGGCCTTGGTTTAAGTCTAATATGTGTCAGTTTAGTTGGATGTAATCGGATGGCCGCTATTGTTTTATTCTCTGTTGCAATTGGTTTAATGGGATTTTCTTTGGCTGGTTATGGATCGAATGCTTTGGATTTGGCCCCAATTTACAATGGTAGTTTATTTTTCTCGTTAGTTCAAATTGTTAAGAATGAGAGACTTTTGTTAGTTAGTTTATTTTCATAGGTGTTCGTGCGTGTGTGTGTGTGTGTACTACTGATGAAACCTACAAACTTCAGTAAAACAACTATCATCTATTGCTTTTCAGTGTTCGCTAGTACCCAAACTAATATCAATCTGTGATTTGTTTTTGTTGTGTTAGGAAATTTATCGAAGGTGAAGTTCCTATCACTAGTTACAGAATCATCGAAAACCAGGGATTGATTAAGTTAACTAGGGATTTCATAGTAGTGTGCATGCACGACCCTATATGGGATCACACTTAACGATTTTCAGTATAATAATAGTGGTATTATACATCTTTGCGTTTTATATGTTTATAGGTGTAGAAAGATGAAAACGGAAGGTAGCATCATCATCATATCTCATGAAATAATCTTCAGGTGACTAAAAGCATAGCTTTTACTTCAGGTTAACAGATATCTTATAAAAAAGATCAAAAAGCTGTTTCAGTTAAAAAAATAATTACAAATTTCAACATTCACTCACAGTAGTTCTTTTACTGTTTGTCGAAGTGATATTATGTTCAGTATAGTAATTTCAATGGTATATAATTTCATATAATGGACAACTGAAAAGTGGATAATGTCTTGTTTTTCTAGTTCTGTAGTATTAATGAGATTCTATTAAACAAGTTGTAATGTGATCACTAATCGAAATAACTTGACTTTGTGTTCACTTTCTTAAATGTTATATGGTTGGAGACAACCTACAGGAAATCCTTTTCTACTTGGTATTCATGATGGATGGATTTATCAACAAGACATACCTTCAGTCTGGAGGGAATCGGTGCGCACTATGTTTCACAATCTGAGATGTTAACACTGAGTTATTCAGACTGTGACTGAACTCCTATCGGACTGAAATATTTACAACTGGATAATTACAGAGTATTGATGATGAATCTCATGCTGTCAAGTTCATTATTCTCTGTCGAATTCCATCAACCAAGTTTCAGTATGACTAAAATATCGATTGAAATTACGTTATTCTAAAAAGTTGATAACACTCGATAGAAATAAACTAGTGATTGGAATAAGTATATAAAACATAGATGAATGAAATGGGAATATCACGGAATATAAATTAAATGTATAAAAGACTTCTCTAGTGATTCATTTATTTTTCAGTTGTCTTCCGTGGTCGTCTGATTAACAGCAGATGATTATGTAAACCACAAAATTCATCAATCCCTTTAAGCCTTCTGTTCTAAGAATAAACCTGTGCGCACCAATGACTAAATTCCAGAGGCAATTCACAAAGGTCTACTAAGCTAAATTAACCGGTGTTCAATTATGTTGATTGTTTGTCAGTTACTCAAAAATGGCATTAAAATATGTCTGCGCTGTTTCACGAATCGACGAAAGTTGAACACCTTAACCATTGTGCGCCGACTCAGTGGTCTAAATGTAAAGCACTTGGTGATCGGTCTGAAGGTTTTGGATTCGATCCCTCTGTGGGGTCACTGCTGATGAATCTCATACTAGGAAAAAATAACTATATAGTACTTTGTGGTTCTCAGTAGCGGTCTAACTAAGATTGATTCATGATGTAAGTTACAAAATTTATTTATCAAGCCTCAAACTGCTTCTGATTAAGTAACACTAAGATTAGTTAAGTTCATCTATTGTTTTTTATTATCAAATGATGACTAAATGATTTTACTAAGATAAATAAAATTCTTTTGAGAAATCGTATATTTGTCATAGTGTTAACTATCAAATTATCCACTCAAATTTTTTACAAAAGGACTTTGGACACACACACACACTCTTTCTCTAAAAACAACTTTCAAGTAGTCCATTATATTTGTGGTGAGACTATAATTTATGGAAGACCTTTGAACAACGCCAAAGTGAGACAACTCACCTAATTACTAAAGTCAAAAGAGACCAATAAATCAGTGTAAGGAATTGGGATTAGAATTTAGAGTTATAATTTAAGGTTAGGAATTAAAGTGAGAATTTTCATCAGAAACTGGCATCAGTTATAATACCGAATTGCTATTTAACTATATGGATGAATGAAAATCCAAGACCTGATACCCGTGATCTCATAAGTTCGTTCATAAATTATAGTCTCGTGATATTTGTCCATATTTACATGATGAACATTTGTGTAGTAAAAGTGAAACTTATTTTCTTTACTGTTTCCGTAATATACATGAGTATGATGTCGATTGATTTTCAGGCAATATAATTTCAGTAACTAATACTGCTGCTACTCTACCAGGTATCTTTGGTCCACTATTAATCGGTTATATAACAAGAAATAGTGTAAGTGTATTTATCACCCTTTTTTTTAAAAAAAGAATTCAATATTTGTTATTTTTATGTTGAACCTAGTTCCGGCTTGTGTATTGAGATTTTAGCAAAACATGATTCGTATAATCTAAATATGGTACTACCCAATTCCTTGTGTAAAGTATCAGGTTGTGTGAACTCAAACCAATAAGTCAGTCATTTTACTAAAAGCCAATTATTTAAACTAAGGTGTATTTTAGCTCCACTGTATTTTTGGTTCATTTTACTTAGATAAGAGGTAAAGGCCCGATCATTACTATTAAAAAATACAGTGTAGTAATCACTAACATCATTTTCATTCCCTGTTATATAACAGTGATATAGGATTAACTAACAAGGACAAATCGAATTTATGCAGAAAACGAGGTCAGAGTGTTATCGGGTAAAAGAATTAATTACCTAACTAAGTATCATCATCTATACGTACTCTAGTCATTTTTAAAACTTGAAAGGTATGCATTAACTGTAAATATTGTTATTGTTAGACTTTTGACAGTCATGATCGTTCCCTTTTATCTAACTGATTGTTCAAATGTTAGGAAAATGATAATAACTGTAACAGCTCACAGTACATAACAGATATAATGTTCACTGGAAATCCAAAGTAAAACGATGGATCAGTGGTTACGGCATTCACCGTTCAGTCATAGCCCTAGTTTCGAAAAGGCTCCGTCTACTTCTGTTAGATATATGAATTATGACTCGACAATCTAAATGGTAACGCATTCGTGGAAGTACCTTTCACGATCCGTTAGAATTCCTTATGCAAACACTTCTAAAAACTCCCTTATTAAAAATAAAACGATATCCAGTTCCATTGAATTTTTAGTAATTTCCAAAATGATACCAATGTATAATATGAGCGTAGAGTTATTTGGTCTCTTATCGATTTTTATACTTAACTTGGTGATCATCAATGCTTTAATCACTCCGTTATTAAGGATTGTAAAAGTCTATTTGATTAATCGTTTATTATACATTTTTCATAACTATTTGTTCATCTTCTTTTTCTTCTCTCTCTACCTTAGTCAAGCATTCAAAATTGGATGATTGTTTTCGGTATAGCTGCAGGAATAGCATGGTTTGGTGCATTAATGAATTTATGGTTGACAAGCGGTGAAATTCAACCATGGGGTCGATTAACTTACATGAAAAATACTAATACTACTAATTCAGTGACTACTGATAATGGTGCACCAAAATTTCAAAATATTATTACCAATCAAAATGATAATCAATAATATCAACCCATTCCATACTAAATATTATCCATTAAAAACATTCTCAACCATATTGTTTCTCTTCAAACTATATTCAATTCTAATTATATTTTGGATGATTAATGTAAAAGAATGAAAGAATGATTCTTGAAAGAAGATGAAGAAGAACAAGAACAAGAAGAACAAGTATGACCACGATTAGTCTTCCTGTTTCCTCTTTTGTCTTTTCAAAACTATTCACAATTTTGTGGAAGATTTAATTATTTGAAATTTGGAGAGCCTTTTTTTTAAAAAAATTTTCCTTTCTGTAATTCTTTCTTTCTTTATAATATTCTAATGTCCTAGTTACATGTACATAAAATCCCGTTACTTAGTTGTTATTATTCTTCTTCACTTAGTGACTATTCAAATAATGAAAGATTCTTATTGAATACAATAAGTATAACCAATGATGACATGTTTGTTTACATCCTTATTTGTCTGACTGTTTTCTTGAGATGATGTGGAAGATTTGTAGCTCAGGTGGATGATTTTGGTGGAGTTTTTTTCTTTTTATTATTTTTTAAATCATGATTCATTTGAATCCATTGAAGAGAAATAAAATAATAATAATAATAATAATCGTAAACACCTATTTACATTAGAACACTTATTGTTTACAAACAGTTATGTATTTGTATATTGAGTAATTATTTTTTTATATTAATAAAGTTGATTTATTCTTTTTCAGCTGATTACAATTTTGTTCCCTTTTTTAAAATATTTAGTTGTTTTTTTTAATATTCATTTCAGTAGTATGTTATGAATCTTGAATTCCTCTAGTTTCCATTCATTCCTATTGATATATACTTGTGATTATCTACCATGAAATGGCTATTTTTGATTAAAGAAAAAATTTCGTTTAGTTTGTTTTTTTGTTAACTCTTTTAAGCTACTTATGGAATTCGATAGTAGTCTTACAGTATATCAGCTTAGTTATCTGTTTCTAGTGTAGATAACCAACTAGATGATCTATGTCGAATGATTAGAGGTCTACTCGAGTTAGATGGAATTCGTGTGACGAACCAGATAACTTCGAAGTCACACTTCATGGTCAGCATCTAACGTGGATTACACCTTCGACGTATCAAAGTACTATGGATACTTTGAAGACCGTATAACACAAAGGACGTTATTATGGGAATATATTAGTAAGAATGAGTACAGAGAGAATAGCGAGACCACCACCACATGCGCCAGTCTATGAAATACGATTAACTGATGAGCGTTGGTTGTCCTTGACCTTGACGGGGATCAATGATCCGTTCGATATTCGGTGACCCAACTGCCGGATGATTTGGCTATGGTCTCAGTGACATTTCACTGGCCCTACACTAGGAATACCATTTTATGATATATGTTTTCTGGAAACTTCGTATGATTGATTACAGTTATGACAATTTTGTATGACTCATCAGGATTTATAAATAACTTTGCTGACGTCGTATTTACCGGTTGGTCAATTGGATTTCGGCTTGTAAACAGGGAAGTTTGTTCGTCTTCCCAACAATGGGCAATTACTCTGCATAAAAGTTCACTTCACGTTACTTTATGGTTGTGAAATATGAAGTTTAAACATAAAAATTACGTTCCACGAAATATGAAACGAAGTATTACTAAGGTTAGGCGTACATTACTTAAAAATTCAGACATGCGTTACGTATATTCACTTCCCAAATCAGCGTGAAAAGTAGGCTAGTATAAAGTTGATTTTGTGTAAAGATAAGGATGCGAAAATTTGGAATTTGCATCCGTCTATTAAGTCAGACCATTAATCAGAAAGTGTAATCTATGTTTGTTAGTAATATGCTTCAAAACTGGTAACAGTAACAAATATAGATTATGTTTTTATCTCCTGCTAATAAAGAGCCAAACAATAAATATAAATATATATTTAGTATCAGAAGGGGTTTTGTGGATATTATAGTCATTTTAATAGTTGAGATCATGAATTCATTGAAGGTAGACCACCATGGTAAATCTGGAAGCACTGAGCGCACGTTTCGTCCTATTGTGGGACTCCTCAGCAGTGCTCATCCATAATCCCTCCTCGCGAGATTTGAACCCTGGACTTATCGGTAGAACTCCAATAAGTAGAAAATTAGATTTCTGACGTTTTATGACACTGAAGTGATTGTCAAGGGAGTATATAAGAAGAGACAAAAACCTCAAAATGTTTTCTCTCTCGGAAAACTCTTGGTTTTGTAAAAACACCCTTAATATTTTTTGATATATTATCATTGCTACTACTTTTAATTTGATTGATCTATTACTATGGGTCTTGTTAATTTCTACTCGTAGTTCTGATATACTATGGGAACTTGAACCTGTGCATTGGATAATTATGTTCCAGTTACAATGAATAAATGGATTAACTGAAACTTCAATGTACTCAATTTTCTGTTGTTATATTTTTAAGTCCTAAGATGAGCAATATATCCGTCTCATATTTGAATAACATCAGTTGTTTAGTGTAGACTATATATCAAAGTGATTTAATAAATAGACATTTAGTGTGTTGTACAAAAAGATTTTTAGGAAATAAAAATTAAGAGTTCGTATTTTTAGTTGTTTCCATACCAATCACTCACTGTTCCTGTTCTCGTTTCCTTGATTTTCTTCACCTTCTGTCTCCAGGCACTCCACTATTGATTGATGATACATACTACTTATATCTGTCGACATCAGTAGCACACATCATAATATAATATATTAGTAGCCTAAATAAACAATGATTCGATTTCAAAGTAGTACCTTAAGTTGTAGTTAATGATCTATTGAATACAACACAAAGATGATAATTCTGGTTGTCGATTATTGACTGTCTCCAAAAATGCAGCAGTACCGTCGGGCCTAGGAGAGTGTGTTTTTACTATTGTGACGTCTTCATATGACCTCACTCTACTGCCAGAAAAGCCATACTCACTGCCTTATCATAGCGGGTTGTATTTTACGAAACTGAGAGGACGAAAAGCGGATATTCAACGCTTAAACTGAATTAGTGGTCACGGAGCATTCAGCTAGGGTAGCTGGAAAATCCTGTTTCCAAACCAATGATGCACATGGGCTTCAGAATCCTGAGAGGACTGATCGAGTGTGAACCTATTTTTCCTCACCGGCTACTGTAGAACCGTTAGTCACTATACATCTTTGCTTATATGTCCACTAGTTTTAATTATTCAGCTTCATGTACACTACGTCTTATTGCTATATGTTAGGATGTTATCGGTATGAATTATAACTTTAAATCCTTATCTTAATCCCTCATACTAATTTATTGGCCTCTTTTGACTCTAGTAATTAGATGAGTTGTCTCAAGATCACTTCGCTTCGTTCAAATATCTTTCATAAATTATAGTCTCATCAAGATATATAAAAGTTTGACAGCTTACTTTCGTGATGGTGTCATATATTTTCAATAAATCTTATCTTTGTAGATAATAGGTAATAGTAAACATGGATACTAATCTAGATTCCCTGAAAGATGTGAGGTAAATGGAAACTAGTAATAATATTTGTTAATATCAGTTCATTAGAATGTATTTATAACATGTAAGTCGTGTTGAAACGAAACTTAAACTGCAAATGATATGAGCAATGTTTGCTGCAACAGAAGTAGGTTGGAAAAATTTAAGGAGTAGCCAAACTAAGATAGCATAAGTGCATGACGTTTATGACCATTGACCTAAGCCTTCTGGTTGATGCAAACTATCTGATCAAGTTTAGCGAGATAACCATGATAGTTGACTGAAGATTTTGAGTGAAATTGTTCATAACTGTCCATAACAGTCCAAATGCATTTATTGTTTATCTCCCCCTAGATCTTGAGCTAAAGTAGTCCTTTCTACATACATCTCCACTCTGTCTCTTCGTTTCTTTATTTTTAATGTTCAGTCTTTTACACTATTTTAACTCCTTTAATATTGATGTTGTTAACTTCATATCACCGTATCAATGTGATAAAACAACTTCGGATAGTGTACATCTGTATCCGGCTCAATGTTGACTATATCTAACTGACTAAATCCGAATTATATAAAGTTTTACAACATGTAATGATGAAATTACGATCATTTTCTGAAAATAAAATTCATTTGCTAACTTATGCATTTATCGGATAGTGTATTGGTACGACCGAAGGTGGGGAGGGAGAGTCAACTCTCCATCTCCAAATGGCCACCCATATACAGCCACTAACACAGAAGTCCTACTCACTGCATTCTCGCCACAGGGGTGTTGTCTACGAAATTGAGAGGATGAAAACCGAATGTCCGGAGATTTAACCGGGTTAGTGGACACGCACACTCCATCTAGGGGAGTTGGAAAACCCTCATTTCAAACCAATGGTGTACATAGGCTGGCTCTAGGATCCTGAAGGAACAAATGGAATATGAACCAATTATTGGTCATCGGTTATCATGAGATTACATATCCTGAAGTTGCTTCACTGGTTTATGAATCAGACCGGGTGTAGCCCCCTAAGAAAATCACTTGAATAGTATCACAACCCATACACAAATCAATTGACTTGTGTAATGCATCTGTATTCAGACCCCTTTTGTTCAAATATAATAAATAAGTTGACATTCATACTCCACATTAACTGATGCCAATTTGAATTAGTCAAAATACGTAGTTGTTCACTTTAATGTTTTAATTTATTTTACTTAATCAAAGTAGAAAACTTGAAAAACCAATATGAAACTACAATACTGAAAGAAAAAATTCTGGAAAATATACAGTTTTCAATAATAATAAGCGGGTGTTTTTCGATCATTCTTTTTTTACAGGAAACAATATCGACTCATACTTCGTAAATTATAATACAATTGAAAATATTTTCTTGATAATTGAATAGCTGAAAATACAAACAACAAATACAAATAATATTAACGGAGAGCGGTTTTGTGGATATTATAGTCATTTTAAAAGTTGAATTCATGAGTCAATTGAAGATAAACCACCATGGAAAATCTGGAAGCACTGGATGACCGTTTCGTGCTAGTATATGAGACTCCTCAACAGTGCGCACCCAGGATTCCGCCTCGCCAGATTCGAATCCAGGACCTATCAGTCTCAAAACCACTGGTGAGGAGTTCCATCCATACTAGGACGAAACAGCCATCTATTGCTTCCAGGTTTTCCATGGTGGTCTAGCTTCAATAGACGACTTCATGAATTCAACTATTAAAATTACAAATATTATTGACTGACCAAATTGAAATATTATAATTACAGAGCAAGATGTCATATATTTGTTTCGTTTCATATGAATGATGGATTGATCATGTGTTATGAAATGAATTCAATTGATTTCAATTGAGTGAAAAGATATTTCTTTCAGTTCCTTATAGTCATATAAAATTTTAGATAGAAATTTTTTTTATTGAAATCCCGAATGGATTCAAGATAGACCAAGACTGAAAGCCTAGAAGCACTGGATAGAAGTTTCATCACAGTATGGAAGTTTTCAAGTGTTTATGCAATGTTTACAGGTTCTCAACTATGGTATAACTTAGATCGATTCAACCTTTGAATAAAATTCAATAATCTTTACGAACTTATACTTGCAGAAACTGATTAGAACATTAGTCTTGTAGTCCATATTGTGCACTGATTTTTGATCTTAGTTAGTCTTTGTGTCACACAAATCTATACCATCCATGTGCTAAGTGATAGGCTGTGCAACACCAAGGATGCCGTGTGTTTGTGCTCATATACCGTCACAAAGCTAAGCGATAGGAAATGGATAACATTAAAGTATACGTTATTAGATTAAGCTGAATATATACTTAGTTAAGGTCTGGAACCATATGCCATTGTTCATGTCAGAAGAACAGGTTCATATATACTAGTAAATTGTGTACACCTTATTCGGTTTGTCAATTACAATTTCCTAGTTATTTACGGCTTTCCCACTTCCATAGAATTTTGGGCCAGTATATAAATAGGGTATGCAAAATTATATGAACCGGACAACAGTGTAACTTGATGGAATTATTCCTAATTATTCAGTTGACAAAGTGTATTTTGTAATCATATTAGAACTTTAATAATAAATTAAGAAAGAGAATCTGAACTCTTCGTATCGATGAGATTATTAATTTATTGGATACTTCCTCATGATTTTTACGATCTGTCTTCTTCAATTCTAATTGGATTGAAAATATTCAGTTGAATAACATCAGTTATATATATTTCGACCAAATAAATCTGAATTAAATCAGATGTAATAGGGAGATATGTTCTTTTATAGTTTATTTAATAGACTACTAACATCGATATCCTATATACTGATGAATGAAATTAAGAATCAAGTAAAATTACTCAAATTTAATTACCATTTATTTATTTTATTTTAACACATAGACATTGGTACAAGGAGGCACCAAATACATATGCGCCACATAAATCTCATTCGATATGTGTGAAGGCTGTGATACTGCCCGGGTGCCCAAACCGAAGCAGGTGGTTTTCTTAGCGGGCCACTACCCGAGCCTTCGACCTGAAGGTCTGATCCACAAGGCAGTGGAGCATCGTAAGGAGATGCAGTCCCATGGAAGCCGGTGACCAACAATTGGTTCATACGCCATTTGTTCCCGCAGGATACTGGAGACCATGTGCACCATTGGTTTGGAATCCGGTTAAAGCGCCGGACATTCACTTTTCATCCTCTCATTTTCGTAAACAACACCCCTGGTGTGAGAAGGCAATGAGTAGGACTTCCCTGGCAGGGGCTATATACGCGCGGCCGTGTGATAGTATTTCGAGAGGGAGAGCGGACTGTCCCCACTCTCGGCCATACCAGGGCATTTGGGGGCAAACCATTGTCTATAAGCAGCTAGTTTAACAATACTTCATATTAATTCATTTGGTGTTGTTTTACTTGTATCTTCCCATTGTTATTTAGGACTGCAATTGATCAGTCTCATTTTGGCGTATGTGCATCATATTAAGCTTCATATTAATTCTTACACTAACCATTGTCATCAGTGAGTTACTATCTCACAACAGACATATTTGAACTACACTGGTAAGGAGTCTCATACTAGGACGAAACAACCGTCCAGTGCTTACAGGTTTTGTTATATCAGAGCGAAGATTAAATCACGAGTAACTTCTGAGACATATTAATTGACTAATATTATCTATACATTCTTATGGTATAATTATTCAATAATTAGATTATGTATATTTATATTCCTCTTATTATAAGCTTTATTTCGACTTATAATTTATTCTTGTACGATTTAATGTTCTTAATCTATAGTCAGTTTATTGACTACTGCCTCCCACGTTCACAGTCACTTTTTGGTTTTATTGTGTACAAATGTTATTTCCTATTTTATGGTGCGTTGCGATATGTATGGTTGATATATAAACCCCGTATGTCTGAAATAAATGGTTCGATTCGATTCGCATAGTGGAAGCTGGTACTAGTGTTCTGGACTCAAGTGGATGGGCTAGGCGAACATAGGACCATTAAGGACGCTAGGCTGCTCATACCGGTCGAACGTCATTGGTTTGGCACAGTGCAAGATTGTATAAGTTGTATTCTGATTGGTGGATAAATCACGTGATAAAAAGCCGGACATAAAGTCACAACAGGTTTTCCATGGAGGTCTAGCCTCAATTGACTCATGAATCAAACTCTTAAATTACTATAATATCCGTCTCACGAGATTCGGATCCACGACCCCAATGTGATTATAATTGCTTTAAGTTTATTAACAACTATTTAAATAATTAATTAATAGACATAATCATGAATATATAATACAATATTATTGCTGCTTACTTGAATGATATTCATCGGATTTATCAAAAGGTAATGGAAATCTTAATGGAGTAGGAAAAAAGTACTCTGGTTTTACATGTGCATTAAAATGTATTAATTTAGCATTTGGATATTGTAATACAATATCGTCACGTAGTGTTTTTTTTCGTCTGTAATTATTATTATTATTATCATCATCCCTATTCAGTAAAAATTCCCATACAACTGGACAACGTTCACGCATTGAAAATGCACTTAGTTGAATATTCCATTTACAAGGTATTTCGTATAACCAATGTTTATTTCGATTCAATACAGCGTTGATAACATCCTGTAAGAAAAAAATAATTTGGGTTACAGTAATTATTTGACTTATGCATCAAATTGTTACAGGATTGAGATATATATGTTGTAGTCGAAGTCTTAATTAACTGTGATGTGATTGATCTGCCAAATTCAGTTACCTATGAAGCTTAATAATATTTTATACGCATATTTGCTAGATTCGGTTCCTAAGCTCTTCTAGTAACCCCTAGGCTAAATCTACACAGCGACTTGAATACCAGAGAAAAGGTGCGAAATATGGAATAAACGCTTTACTCCAAAAGTTTGTTTACTTACAGAAAATCTAGGGTTTTTATAGTATTTTAGATGGTCTTGGGTTTCCAGAAAATTCTGGAACTCTGCTATACATAGTAGCAGTATAGATAACCATCCAATCAGAAACGCGATATGTGACTTTTAACTTTCTAGATGGTTCTGGCGAGACGTCTACTGAATGCTAAGTGTTTTCAGAGCTGCTTTTGACTTTTTCTAGGAGTTTTCTAGATCTCCCCAACAATTTGAATGTGCAGTTTAACAGAAATTGGTCGCCAAGTATGTAGAAGATATTATTTGTCGAAACGATTGGAACGGTTGAAATGTATTCGATTCTAACGTTCTGTCCACAAAACGTTTCCGAAATTCTTCAGAGTAATAATCAAATCAAAATAATTTTTTTAAATAATGTTTTAATAATGGTTGTTTTTCAATTAATAGTTTGTATATAACCATGTTATTTTATTAGAAGGAAGCTATTCTTCTGGGTAAGAATCTTATCTAGATGTCGATTTAATTCAGAGATTACGTCAGTAATTAGGTTTTGTAAACAATGATTACTCGGCTATACTGTATCACAACGTATTATCAATCGACAGGAGCAAATCATTCATTGATGTAAAAATTCTTCAAATATCTTTTCACTACAGATCCGGCAATCCAATTGCATAACACTGTAGTTAATATCCATGTGTATTCATGAATAAGGAATATACATGTAAGAGGGATTTTGTTTTCTATTCACTGAAAATCTTGTATAACATAAAACTTATCACCATTTCTTATCACATTCTATAGTCGTTATATTAAATAAAGACTAATTAACGATAAGGATAATGTGGTGCGATAAATCGACTTAATCTCTCTAAGGTCATATAATTTGGTAATAGTATCATCTTAACTACTAATACACACTTCTGATAGCTAACCAATTCAACTGTATGGACAAATATCCGAGTATATTAAAGTTAACAACTAACAGTCTGATAGAGTTTAGACATTTCATGTATTTGTGCTGACATCCGTGTCCAAGTCAAACAGTAAGCGTGAGAATATCAACAAATCTTGCTATTGGAAGATAATGATTATTAATGCAGTCAACATCTCAGCCTATATTTTCTTGTCTCTGTTAAAAAGACCTACGCTTCCATTTTTCACTTTTAGTTTCCTAGTCATTTCTAAGTTTTCTAACTAACACTAGTCGTTGGGCAAGCGAAAAGCTCACGTATCTATATCTAAATTAAATAATCGTGGGAATGTCACTAATAATTAGTTTAATTCAAAAACAATTCTCACTGGGAATTGAATTCAACCGGAGAATCTTTCAAAATCAAATGACATTAGATAACTGTGTGATACTGGACAAGAGAATTAAAACAAAGACCTTCAATTCTTGAAGTCTAAACACAGCAAACTTTGATCAAATAAGTCATATGTGTCTGTATGACTGGAAGCTGCTAAACGTTTGAAGATTACCATTAATTAGTGATTATCTATTGTTCCCTAAACTGGGATATATTTCTATCAACTGAAATCAAGTACTGTGTTTCAATTAATTTTAATGTTTTCGATGATATTTAGCAAAGAAACAATCTTCACGATCCTCTACTCAAGTACTAAAAATACATTTTAAAAGCACGTCCACATACATATATACATGCTACAAATAAGAGAGAAGAATTTCAAATATTTACTGTACACAGTTTTTGGGTTAATTAGCACTCTTTAGTCAAGGGTATTTAAAGTAATAAAATAAAATTTACTATTTGACAGATTCGAACTCGTGTCAACCACTGTTATAGTAATGGAGGTTTTTTTTTAAGTACTTGAGTGGTGGGATTGTAGTGAACAAGAACATTGTGGGGATAACCATATGCAGTTTAATGTAACATTACAGAATCTCTTAGTAAGATCTGAGAAGTACACAATAAATACTTCATTTGCAAAATATCTATCATTTATCTCAGACTGCGTTTTTCTTCGTTTCCATACTAATCAAGCTCTGTTCTCATTCTCCTCTCTTCAATCTTCTTAACCTTCAGGCATCAGGTATTTCACTTCCGATCGATGCTACATACTACTTATATCTGTCGAAATCAGTAGCATATACCACGAATTAGGTAATGCGATTAGCTGACATACAGCCATCGATTGATGTAATTGGTTAAAATTTTAATTGAATTAAAACTGTTATAATTGATCTGTGTTTTACATATATGTACTCATTCGCATATATTATAGAGAATGGTACGATATGTTGTATAATATTCTATTACATTTGGTTTTAATTGATCAAATAGTTAGCTTGTGTCTCAGTTAATTAACTTACAGATCAATAGTTAATTAAAAACAAACAAATTATGTGATGCCTTGGGGGCCACATGATAAGATCGATGTAAGTGTGGGTACGGAACGATCGTAAATGAATTATTCATTTAATGGCTCTGTATCTAACTCCAGTTAAATAGTATGGTGATTGTTATCGAAATAAACATGCCATCAAGCGTCGTACATTTCTGAAGACTTAACTCGCATTAGAGAATAACGTAATGAAATGAGCCAAATAGGAAAATGAATTGCAAATACATATATTTCGCACACTCGTTGATCCGGGAAGACAATCAGAAAAATTAAGCGAAACTATACGAAGTGATACACAGCGCAGATGATGAGTGAACCAACCCATTTTGTTGAAGTATGACTCAATACCACTAGTCAGTAGAATAAAATCAATTGCTTATTTACAAAATATTAAATACAAGAACAAAATGAAATGTCATAAAAGTTGGACAAGATAAGTTTTGTAGATTACATTCTGTTTAATGAATTACGTTTTAATTGAGCAAGAATGCCTGGATGTTTGGGATGAGTTACTCTCCCTCTAAATGCAAGTTGTTCTTCCAGGAATGGCCTGCGTCAACACCTGAACTAAGGACAACTTCACTTATCTTTGAATTCTGATCAGCCCCAATGAGTTGGTGTCTGACGAAATTTCAGCACGGATTCAAAAGGCTCATTTGGCTTTTCCCAACTTACGTCACCTATGGCGAAGGCGAAATATCCATCTATCAATTAAGGTACCAGTATACTGCACGGCAGTTCGTTCTGTTCTACTTCACGGATACGAAACCGTGACCGTTAAGAGAAGAAGATACCCGTAACTTACTAGTATTCGGCCACAGATGTCTTAGAAATATTGCTCGCATCTGCTGGGATCACCGGGTAAGTAATAGTGAGGTTAGATGCAGGGTATTAGGGAATGATGGTAAATCATTTGATGAGGTTGTAAATCTTCATAGACTAAGATGGCGGTTGGGTCACGTGTTACGTATGCCTGGCAAAGATTACCACGACGTTCAATGCTAACTAGTGTTGGAGACGGCTGGAAGAAAGTTAGGGGCGGCCAAATCAAAACGTGGCATCACTGCTTGAAGTCACTAACTTCTGGTTTAAGCCATGTTGGTAGATGCAGACTACTTGGCTGGGGTCATGTAAGATCAATCTGTAAACTTGTTGTAAACAGTATCCTACAAAAATCTGACTTCGATACGAGGGCGAGATTATAATTTATAGATGAACTAATCAGATTTAAGATAACAGATCTTGGATTTTGGCACGAAATTCATTCATTCATTTCGCTAAATAGTGTTTTAGCATTATAGCTTATGCCAATTCATAATGAAAACCCTAAATCTAATTCCTAACCCTTAACCATCAACTGTAAATCATAATTCTAATTCATCACAGTGGTTTAAAACCCTCATGTACCACTAGTACGTAGGTGAACACTATCAAGGTCATCTTAGCATCGCTCAAAGACCGTCCATAAATTATAGTTTCACCATTCAATTTTTCACCAAATACATGAATTTATCAAAATGATGAGTGAAACAAATTGTTCACATGGTATCTCAAGGCCAAACGATAAAATAGATATTAAATAAGGTATGTTATTGAATCAAACCATTTTTAAGGTCATAGCATACAGATCTTTATCTTCATCAAAAAGTCAGATGTATTTATATTGATGATTTGTATAAACTTTATTCAATTGTCATATGAAACTTCGTAGTCATTTCTTAATCTTCTCATTTATATAACTATATAGACAAATTCATCTCTATAGCATGATTATCTTATAGGGTCAGTGAAATGTCACTGAGACCATAGCCAAATCATCCGGCAGTTGGGTCACCGAATATCGAACAGATCATCGATCCCCGTCAAGGTCAAGGACAACCAACGCGCATCAGTTAATCGTATTTCATAGACTGGCGCATGTGGTGGTCTCGTTATCCTCTCTGTACTCATTCTTACTAATATATTTCCATAATAATGTCCTTTGTGTTATACGGTCTTCAAAGTATCCATAATACTTTGATACGTCGAAGGTGTAATCCACGTTAGATGCTGACCATGAAGTGTGACTTCGAAGTTATCTGGTTCGTCACACGAATTCCATCTAACTCGAGTAGACCTCTAATCATTCGACATCATTTACGTTGGTGATCTACAATCTGTATCTAAATTAAACTAACATAAAAAACAGGTACACAAAAACAAGAACGCATCTATAACTAGTTTCTATGACTTATTAATTAATGAATTAATTTATTGCTTACTTGTTCACCAGTTGGTAAAATGCGTTTTTCTCTCATTAAATTGAATGCAGTTTTCATCCAAATTTCATCCCAACCTCTTGCTCGTAATTTAGTTAAATGAATTAATAAAATACCAGCATTATAACCGTAACCCTTTATTTCATTGTTGTTGTGAGTTGTGTTTGTTTTTCCAGTAATGTTTGTGAGAAATTATAAAAAAATATAAAGAATTAGCTGAAAATATTCATTCAGTACAATGGTTAAAGAGATTGCCGAATTTCACTGAGATAACCATTGAGAACTTGTAGCGATTAAACAATTGTTTTGTTGTAGTATGTGGCTCTGTAGAAGTGAGTATCCAAGACCTTAAGGTCTCTTTCGAGAACATTTACATAAGAGTAGTACATCATGAAATCATGATTCGACGATTAGGTTTTTACACTTGATAATGAAGACGTTGAGTTCAATCCTAAGTGACGGAATAGTGAGCTTATACTGTTAAGAAGTCCTATATTAGGACGAAACGACCATCCAGTGCTTACAGGTTATCGATAGTTATCTAGCTTTAAACGAATAGGTTAAATTTTTGATTATTGGTATGAATGTAATATGAAATTTTTACAAGGCATATAAATTATTTGATGTATTCTGTGATAGGGAATAGAATCCTCTGCCAATATGTATCAAAATATAGGACAAAACAATTACAAAATGCTTTTTATAGTCAATATAAATGTATTAGAAACTATCTCGCACATACATCAACATACCAAAGTACAATCTTTCAATAAATGGCATCATGCACACTGGTTATGGACTTTTATCTGCATGTAGATCTTGTGATAATGGTACTACTCTCCAACATCATTTTTTTTATTATAATAACTATAAATCAGTTTATTATTGAGGTTTCTGTTATAGCTTGTGGCCTTGTGTCCTATGAATATATAAACGACCGAACCAGAGACGCGTAAAACCGTACGAACAATCTAGAGTCCATATCGGTACTTCTTCCTGCCTAGCCCTGCCTATTGAGTTCAGAACACCAATCTCAGCCTCTGCGATATGAATAAAATATTTCGAACATACTGGGTTTATATAAAAACCAAACAGACCAGAACACCATAAAATAGAAAATAACATTTGTACAACATCAAACCAAATGTGGCTGTGATTGTGAGAGACTGTAATTAATAAACCGGGCATAACTTAAGAACAGTAAGTCGCATTATAATAGTCTATAAGTCAAAATAAAGGTTACAATAAGAGGAATATGAATATGCTTAGTTAAGCTACTTAATAATTATACAACAAAATTATATGTATAGCATTAGATCATTAGTAGATCTCAACAGTTCATTATTCTCGTCGAAATGCATCAGTTTCAAACTGCTTATAGTTTTCCACGTAACAGGTTTTATTCAATATTTACATTGAAATTAACAATATATGACTTCTTATGCAATACTAAGTATTAAATCTTTCCGAAAAGTATTGTTAGTCAACTAATCTGAATCAATAATTGTACAAATGAACGCACTGTTCTACTATCACTATCTAGAGAACAAGAACTCAGGTGGAGACAGTCAATCGATTGCTTAATTGCTTAGTTGTTTGATAAACTGTGGAAACCATACATTGAATACTTCATTTGCAAATCCTCCATCAATTGTTTCAAACTTGGTTGATCTTTTATTGATATTACAATTACTCAATGTTCATATTTCCGTTCTCTTTAATTTGATCTTCTCAACCAGGCATTCCACTTTTGATCATGTCTATCGACATGAGTAACACACCACAACTACATACTTATACATATGAAAGAAAGTGAACAGCTCAGCTTTCATAAAAGAAATGTTAGTTTAATTATTTTAAATATAATTTCATATGTAGCGATCCATGATGTCTGGTACTATGAACACTTACGACATCAACTTCCTGCTAACTAAAAAAAATAAACCATTACTAATATACAAATCGTGAACGTGAAACATGCTGAGAAATAGGAATTAGATCAAAGCTCTGATTTTTAGTCAATTTTCGTCTAAGTATTCATATTTTATATTCCATAGTTGACTCGAGTTAATTTCAATGATGATGAGTCGCTTTATCACAAGGTGATATTCAGTACAAGTAGATAATTGAGAAACAATCACTGGTAAGTATTTTATACTAATTAGTTATCCATGTTTATTTGATGGTATCACAATTGATTAAGTGGACACATTATATATTTACGAATCTCTCGGTGAATAAGATTAATTCCTGTATTATGTGGAACAATTCAAATTCACTACACTATATTGTGCTTAAGAAGACATAACTATTTATTATAGGGTTAATAAATGAATACTTATTCCCATTTACGATAAATTTAACGTAAAGAAATATATATAGATTCATCTATATATTCACTTTATAATCGAACCTACAAACAGTGATCCAATCAAAAAATCTAGACTTACCAATGCTGGCCAAAACCTTTTTCCCATATTGCTGTAGAAAGTTGGATTCTGTTCCGCGGCAATACCGATACACTATGAAATTATTTAAAAGTAGGCGATTTTCAAATTGTCTTGTATACACAAGAACGAGGAGAGGAAACAAACGTCAATAAAAATAATATTCAACATTCTGATTTTCAGTAATGATTAGTCCAAGTCAATAATCTTTTAACGATAAGTAAGTCCTAAAAAATACATAGTTCAGTAGATGTTCAAAGTATGATTCCAGGTTTGTCAATTTTATTGAACTAAAATAATTGGAAATAGATTAACAAACTATAGTGAGCTTTGACATCTTGTCATACTCCTCGTGTTGATGTGATCAGTTCTTCAGCTGGTCTACTGAAACATCTCTCTCTTTGCTTAACTAAACCTAAAGCTGTCTTGCTTTCTTTGTTGGCTAAGCTTGATTAAGTGATCATGAAGTGTTGAGATCAGATATATTGGGACTTTGCTACTAGCATTACCGACATTTGCTAACATTCAACTTTTGAGGCTATATTGATTTCATGAAGTGTAGCTAGTATTATGTAACATATCCTAAGGTTTTTTGACAATAAACATTTTTATGATTCATTATTCATAATTAAATTTGTTTGTTAACAAACTTAGTTCTTAACATTTTTTTCAAAGTGAGTTTTACAAAACGTTTTCAAATTCTTGTGATATGTGGTAGTGAGAGTAAAATGTGATCGGTCATTGGGGATGGATAAACATGCACTTATTCTACCGAGTGTTACCTTGTGATTTCCTTTCCTGTAATTGATTTCTACTCCAAACTCACTGATAGTGACAGCTTGAAATTGTGTGGAATAAAGTATTATTTACATTTACTATAGTCCTCTATTCTTAGTTATGGATCGTATATGTGATATATTATGAACTAATCGCTGTATTGTGTACCGTTCAGGTATCCAACCTTGCGTAGTAGTATACAGCAGAAAGAAAGAGAGAAGAATATTTCAAACCATCCGTTATATCATCTTGGCAACATTTGGTAAATGAAGTCAACATGGAATATGTATACAGCGCAATTAAGTTGTTGATTACCATTAACTTCTTTATAGAGTAGAAAATGATTACTGTGTATGATTTTATTATTTTTTTCATTTTAATTTGACATGATCCGTACAGAATAGAATTTTGATGAATAGGTATGAATAGTCGTTGAAATGATCTCCATTTAACAATTGTCTATAACTGCATATTGTTAAGTGTCTTCGTTCAAATATTATTAAAATTTAACAAACAGATAAAACAATTAATTGTATAAAATTTACTGTTACAAAAAACTATTATGACCAATGGAGTCCGATCCGTGTCGGATAAAGACAAGTATCTACCATAGACAATGGATGAATGGTTGAGCAGCCATCCATGGATCGATAGAAGCTAGACACTAACACCATCGGATGCCAGCTCAATGGCCTATAGGTTAAGTGTTCTCGCATGAGACCGAAGGTCCTGGGTTCAAATCTCAAGTGAGGGATCATGAATGCGCACTGCTTAGGAGTCTCATACTTGGACGAAACGATCGCCCAGTGCTTCTAGATTTTCCACGGTGTTCTAACTTACATCAACTTATGAATTCAACTATTAAAATAACCATATGAAAAAATTACTCTAATGACTAAGTTATTCTTACTTGATCCTTGCTGAACTCATCAAATATGCTCCATAGATTTGATATATCATCATTCAATAATATATCTGCATCCAGTACAATAACCTAATTTTTTTATAAAAATATACGAAATAAAATGATTTTGGTTAATATTCAGTATTGAAATAAAGAATTAGTTTGCTATAATGAACAGTCAAAAACCAAATTGAGATCAAAATATGAGCATTCACGTCTCGAGGACAGAATGATGAGTGAGTTTAATATCATCAGTGGGTAGTTGTTTGACCAAGTACATAGCCATTTTGTTATTCATTACATTATAAATTGTTGTTGTATTTGCATAGTGATTAGTTATGTAGAAAAATAAACATGGTGACTATAGTTACATCAACTAAGAAATGAACGTATTCCACCTAGAGGATTCTTTATCGGCATACAAGTGGAACTGAGAGAAACAAGTTTAAAGCTGATAAATCATCAAACTGACGTCTTTAAACAAAAGATTGTTGTGTTATATTGGCTTCTGTTCATGATTAAACATGATCAGTTTTAAAACATAAAGTATACATTTTTCCATTTGTATAATGGTTGGATCGATTCGATACTGTTATATACAAAGAAGAGTAAAGGTATGGTGACTTCCAGGACTAATTTGTGGACTATTGTCATACATATGTTCTCATTGTATAATTACAGAGCAACTAGATTATCAGATGTATTTATCCTTTTTATCATGAGCTTTCGTCTGACTCACTAACTACTGTTATATGATATATTGTTCCTCATTTGCTTCCAGTCTATTACTCACATCTTCCTTTATTCACAGCCATTTTCTAGCTTGATCATGTACAATTGTTATGGTATGTCTTTATATAAACTACACATCTTTGAAATATAATATTCGTGTAGTGGAAGCTGAAAACTGTTATTCTGGTCTCGACGGGTAGGGCAAAGAAAAAAGCTAGAAAACCCTAAAACAATTAGATCTCAACCTGCGATCCAAGGTCAATGGTGCTGAACGGATTCCGGTTGGTGTTTTTGTCACGTTATATTGGTCAGCGGCTATAAATCATAACGGATACAACAATAAAATGACTGAAACGACAGAGAGGACTGTCACATATCTCTAAAATCCTGAATAATAAAACATTTTTTGTATCTTTCTAAAATAATATGCTTAAACCACTAACAAACAACAGTTATTGCTTACTTTCTTGATTTCAGTAGGTAAAATTTGTGTAATTAATAATTTGAGATAACTTTTATGTCCAGCGTGATGTCCAGATTTAAATGATTTGACCCGTGCCTGATAAAAAAAGAATAGTAAAAATAGTGATAATCCATGTGTAGTCTGAAATAACAATCGCCAAAATAAGCACCCTAAATCAGCTCGATTAATGCATATATAACAATAAAGCACCGTGAATTCACTATTTGCTTGCGTTTTCGTACACCATCTTTCCTACTAATTAATGTTCAATAGACAAAGGTATCAGTGCCAAGGATGGACCTGATAGTTTCAAATAAATTGAGTATCAGATATAAGGTTAATAATAAATATATTTTTTGTTGTATCCCAGTGGGGAGGAAAAAATTGTATTTCTGAGGCCTCGTAACTTGATGTAAGCCACTTTTTCAGAGAATAAATAATCATATATATATATATATAGTTTTATTTATAACAATCTACCCCAGTGCTTTGGTATTGATACCTACTAACTTCATAAATGTTCCTACATAACCTTCATGTTGTTTGTAAATCTACGCGTTGGAAACTAAGTGATATACCATTATAGTGTATCTACCGAGCTGCCATTTTTTATTATACTCCAAAATTTATCAATGATGAAATCACCTTTTTACTCAATTCAACTCCAGTAGCATGGTCTGTGTTAGATAAAACTAAACAAACGAAAAAACTAATCCTTAATACGTTAGATTACCAGTGAGTATCGTGTGTGTGTGTGTGTGTCTTAGACGCTTTCCTCATTACTACATAATGACATTATAAGCTCTTTCATATTAGCTGAAAGCGTCTTAAACTTTCTGTGAGGAAATTTGCTTCGAAGTTATTTCTTGATAAGTTTCTATTATGACTTTAAGTTGGGTCGATTTTTACCCAGTGCTAATTGTTGTGTCCTTGACTGGAAAATTAGAGAGCAGCCTACTTATCGATCGATTACAGTGACACGTAAACACGTACGGACGGCCTAGAGTCTCGATTGGTCTCGCTCCCCTGTCTAGCCAAGTCAGTTGAGTCCAGAACACAAGTCACAACCTCTGAGATATGAATCACTATATTTCAAACATACTTTGTTTATATACCAATCAAGCATACCACATCGTACCACAAAATAGAAAACAACATTTTGTACAATATTCAACAAGTGAACAGATATCAACCAATAGGAAATGTTCATTTAAAGTCCAAGGACACCATTGGACTTAACATGATAATTATTGGTCTATTCCTCCGCATCCACAACAGTTTCATTAAATGACTTTTTAAACACCAGACAATTATGTAAGTAAAAACACTGAAAAGTACTTTCATTAACTTACTGAAACTTATATAAAATACCTGACTCATCTACTCTGAAATAAGGTTATTTTCTGTTTAATTTTCTACATTCTGCTGACTGGTACACGCAGGTGGTTAATATTTAGCTTAATTATCCGAGGGAAACTGACATACGCTACTGGTTGAAAAGTTGCCTTGATTTCCTGATGGAAATTTGTCTATATTAAGAAATGAGTTTGTGTATATTTCTTGATTGACGTTTGCTAATTAAAGCTTTCCACTCACTCTTAGTTTCCCTATCCAAGTACCAGGATGGACTGGTGTATAAGAAGTGTGTATATTAGTATCAAACTCGGACTACCATCTCAAAATACATTCCAACAAGTTCTCGTATGAGAAAACACTAGAAAATATGGATGGGATAAGAAGTAACAAACAAAAGAACTGTCTTTCATAAATATTTTATGATTGCCTAATTTCGGTATAAATAGCTCACGGACTCTAATTAGCATAAAAAGTGCTGCTGAGAGATCGATTAGACTTTCAACAGTCATTCAGATAACAAATTTGAACTGTAGATAACAACAGCCAACAACACGGTTTTTAGGTACCGTTGTAGTGAACAAAAACTTCAGGTAGGGAAAGTCACTTTATTGATTGACGCGAAATTACTGAGTACTTTCGTAAAATATGAAAATCATTTATGAAATATATTATTTGCATGTCTTCTTTGTGTCGTCCTTGACATACTTCATGATTCTTTCAATTCTGTTAATATTACAATTGCTCTTTGTTTACAGTTCTGTTTTCTTCAGTTTAATCGTCTGCTGCCAGTCATTCCACTTCTGATTGGCGTTACATACTACTTGTTTGTTAACATAAGTAGCAGATTCCACACTGTTTCTCGGGCTTTAAATAGCCATAAATTGCCTATATATCTCATTAGCTGATTTGACAATGTTCTAAACAAATCCAACATTTAGTACACCTAGTCAATTCTAAAGTAATTAATTATGTCAACTAAAAAACAACAACTTTTAATGACAGGTTTTGTGATGTTTGGGCGAGAATGACAATGATTGGTTGTTTGTTTAGTCGACATGTAGATAGTCTGACAGGTGTCAGATGAGTTAGATATATTCCCTTATCCTTATTATTATAATTACTCATATATTATTGATTGTTCACTGTTGTTGGATTGTGTCGGGTTTTGGTGTGAAAATATATTTACGTTGTGATCAGGCTAATCACATGTTCTTGATCTGAGTTATGTTGAAGTCCTGTAGAATAAACAATGGTAGGGAATCTAGTGTAGATATTCGTCGGCGAGACTCTAATTTATGGATGAGCCAATCAGAGGCGTTTGAGAGATTTTAAGGTCACGACGCCAACTTCAGTGCTTAATGTTAAAGTACTATCGGTTCACAAGGAATTTTGTACAAAACGTGATAATTGAGCAGCTATAACAAATAAAACGGCGAGACTTTAATTTGAGGAGGAATCAATCATGTATAAGATAACAGATCTCAGATTTTAACGCGAAAGCCTTCCATCTACTTGGCTTAATAAATTTCTGGCTTTATAGCTGATGTCAGTTCCTAAGGCAAATTATGACAATTATCGCGAACTGGATAATAAAAGCACCATTAACACTGGTTGCAGCCAGGTACTACAATATGTACTGATGTTTGGAGAGCGTACAGACTCCTGCATAAGCTTGGTTATATGCATCATGTCGTTATCCACAAGTAGCATTTTGTGTACTCAACAACTGGAGTGCGCATAAACAATATTGAAACTATGTGGTCGAGGCTGAAACGGTTTTTGAGATTTTATCATGGCTCCATAGGCCGACTATTCTGTAGCCGTATGGATGATTTCCTCTACTGCATGGATTACGACTTTAGAATCTCTGAAACTCTTTCTAACTTTGACAAATTTTTGAAGCACTTACAAGAAGTGTATCTACTTTATTCCCTTGCTTTTGTATAATATATTTTTACTCCATACTGACTGTTTGTTGATTGGCTAATCTTTCTCAGGGTCACTTAAGTTTCGTTCAAAGGTCATCCATAAATTAGAGTCTCGCCGAAGAAATTCACTGGAAATAATTATGACTGGTAATTTGTGAACTTATGCACTGATCTTACCATTTAAAATCTTATCAACATAATTCATTCATGTGTAAACTACAATCAACTTACTTCATAGTTTTTAATCGGATAAAATTGTACACTGATCCCATCTAATCCCCAATCAGACATTAATCTATTCATAAATTCATATGGTAATTGATCAACAATAAAATGAAATACAATCGGAAATCGTTCACGTTTAGCTTCATTAAATGATTGAACACGATCAATTGCTGTTAACCAATTTGAATTAATATGTGTGAAATGTTTAAAATGACAACAATCATCTTTAGATGGATACCATCTTTTTTGATGGAATAAAATTGATTTAATTTGTGTTTCAGCTTGATAACAATTGTCAATACCATCAGCTAATAGCATAGCAATATGTATAGTATCATTATGAAAATCATAATAAGGTTGATACATTGGCTAAATTAAACAATAAATAAAGGTGATGAGAGTTAAGAATACATATTGCATAGTTTATATTACAAAATGACTATAACTAGGTAAGGAGTAAAAAAAAATTAGGAAGCACCGAACAGTTGAATAGAATTGTAAGTTTTCAGTTCGATTCCTTGATTGGATCGTATGTAGATGAACACAAGTGAATAGTTTCATGAGATGAAACAGTTATCCAATACTTCCTGGTTTTCAATAGTTGTCTAATTAAGGTCAGTTCTTAATGTAAATTATAAAATAAAAATACATTTTAGGTAACCAGTCAATGTTTGATATGCTTTTTCACTAATATCTGTAAATTCATAAATGATTCAGAAGTTTTAATGATAATTCACTACAGATGGAATCGACCAAGTTAGTCATGAAGCAGTAAGTCAACAGTAATATATAGTTAGAGTTAACTCAACGGTAGATATTGATTAAAATTGACGATCTGAAACATTGTGCTCTGACTTGATAGTCTAAAGTAACAGTATCCGATAAGAGATCTACATATTCCAGATTCTAACCTAGATGAATAATCAGTAATATTTTAGTGAGCAGAATTGCAACTGAGTTATGCTCAGTGGTCTCATACTTTTATATTTTGGCTCAGTTCTTCTCATTTAAAGCAATCGTTTTTTCTACTCCAGTACCTTAACTTCTAGGTACAAGCGTTTTGCAGAAACTTTCTATTTTGGGCTCAAGATTATGGATCGATTGAAGTTAGATGTTAACTGTTATGTCTCGATAAGCATAATGAATGGTAACTTTTGGAATCCATTTATGAACCAATACTATGCGCATAATTTTATCGTATAATTGTTAAATAACTAAACTATACAGATTTATGTCCCTCTTATTATGAGCTTTATTTTGACCTACGAACTATTATTATTATACGATTTACCATTCTTGAATTATGCACTGTTTATTAATCATTACCTCTCACACTCACAGCCACATTTGGCCAAATCTTGTACAAATGTTGTTTCCTATTTTATGGTGTGATGTGGTCCGTTTGATTTTTATATAAACCCAGTATGTTCGAAATATATTATTCATATCGCAGAGGCTGAGATTGGTGTTCTGAACTCAATAGGCAGGGCTAGGCAGGAAGAAGGACCGATATGGACTCTAGACTGTTCGTACGGGTTTTAGGCGTTATTGGTCCGATCGGTAATTCACTGCTCTCTAATTGACAGCATCCTTACCCTATACATTAACAGAGCACACAGGCCACAAGCTGTAACATCAACATCGTCGGATGCCAGCTCAGTGGTCTAGAGGCTAAACGTTCGCGCGTGAGTTACTGGGTCCGCGTCCCACGTAAGAGATCGTGGATACTCACTGCTGGGGAGTACCACACTAAAACGAATGGCCTTTCAAAATAGATAATGAAGAGATTGGCAAGACGGTAGAACAAAAACATATTCTGTCTGTCATGTTATACTAATGTTATACAATAATAAGACTGATGACCGAGATGTTTGTTATTGTTAGGCTGGATACTCGATCGATAAGCTGAACACAAGTGGGATCACATTACATCAGACACGTGGCTCGCAACCGATTACACAGAATCAGAGCATAGACAAAACAATACTTTATCCAACACAATTACAAGCAATCTACACTTATTGACTTAAAAGTATAAATCACTACCGGTAAGGAAATAGCAAAGTAAATAGTAACTTAATTGTTCGTCTGTCCTTACTTAATGGCCTGTCATATCTTACTTCACTGGGCACATATCAAGATATAAACTTTTCCTATTATTATCACAAATTACCTTGGGTTATCTCGTGAAAGAAGCTACATAACATTCAGAAAATCAATATTATTGTCTTTTTCAATCTAGTGCATACTTATAGACTTGTTCCATTTAGTTTAATTTTCAGCGAAAACAAGCATGACTAGTAAAAGTGGAAATTAGGTAGTTGTTTTTTAACCAAGATTAATTATTTCATATCCTAAAACACACACCATCTTTGTGGAAACTATAAGATATACGTGGAGTGGAAGTCTTTGGTAATAAGTACTTTCGAAACATTACTTGCGTATCGTGAAATAACGGAGTTAGCAGTGTTAACACTAAGTACTGGAAACTAGGAAAATGTGGCAAGTTGCTTGATAAGATCGTAATTCGTAGTCGATTGAAGTGCTTAGGACCAGTAATAAGTATGTCTAACCACTGCCTAACCCAACATGCAAAGTTAGATGGAATTGGAGTAGTTTTGAAGAAAGCTAGGAGGGACTCAGTTAACTTGACTGTTGATCTGAACCATGTTGGTAGTTACAGTCTAGCTAGTTAGGGTCTTCTTAATAACCGTGATCAATGGTCGGATTTTTTGAATGGCATGGATCACAACCAGTCACAATGGACCCGATTCATTCACTCAATAACTTACTCTAGATCTTGAATTTCAGAATTCTTTCTTACATACCTTTTATTTCTGTCTTCACGAACGACACCGTCAATGTTTAGTCTTTTGCGCTGTCGTTATTATTACATTATTTCGACCTATTGATAATACATCTTATTAATTTCATCTCGCGATCAAAATGCATCATAAACAGAACTTGAAATGAGTTTCCCTAGTGTCAGTAGAGGATAAAAAAGCATAAACACATTTTTACCCAGCATCATCCGTATTCAATAATGCTTCCATTTGTAATTCAGTGTGAAAATTGTTCCGTATAATATTCATTATATTTTAGTGTGACATTTATTTAGAATGATACTCTTTGTATTAACCTAATGTGAACTTCGTTCAGTATAATACACATACTTTTTGGTAATTCTGTGTAGTGATGATTTTCTGTGTTTCTTCTGTCAGTGATACTTTAACTGTTAAAGTTGCGAACCGATTTTAACTAGATCTCAATTGAAAACCCGGAAGCATTGGACGGCTGTTTTTGACTTCCTAGTAATGCCCATCCATAACCACGTATTCAGAATTCAAACCCAGGACCATGAGTTCAGTGGTAGTCGTAATATTACTAACTAAACATCCAATACAAGTCAAGTCACTATATAATTGAGTGTATTTGAAAAAAGTATTTGTTATCCTATTTATGGAGTGTGGATAAAATCTTACTTTGTTCTCTTCTTTTCACTGAGCGAATCTCAGTGTTTTTCCATTCAAGTACCAGTTTCTGCAGTTGTAATATCTCTTTCAAGAACGATGTCTGTTGAAAACCCACAGTTCCCAATATACACTGTCGTAGTGTACAGTGTTGGGCTCTGATACTGATACAAGAGCTTCCTTTTCACGAGCCTAACCAGCTACTTGACTGGGAAGACTGTAAGTGTGAAGGAAGCTGTCTATCGATCAACTAAATCGAAGGATAACTGAACACTCATTCATATACATGTATATTTGTCTCAATGAAATTAAAGCCACATTTTTACACCAATGGCGTGTACCTCATTCCCTGGAAAGAAAATCCATATTTTAGCAAAACGATTGCAGCTATCACTTGTGTGGAATTTGATAGCCCCACTATATCATGCACGTATCGTCATGTGAAAATCGATAGGTCCAAATTACTCCTTCTTGTTCATCGATAAAGATACTGCTTTTCATTATCTTACCATCGAATATATTTTAAAAAATGCAATTAAACACTGATTCAGTTATTCATCGTTTAATAGATGTTCAAATTATTAATTTAGTGATTTGCTTTAGTACAACGAATGTAATTAGTCCCTTTTACAAATCTGGATAGCGTAATAAGAAGGCGAAAGTAATAAGACCTAAGTGATATTTTAGCGTAACACATTTCGAACCATCTGATCACTCATATAGTTGTCAAGATCATTTATATATTAAAATAAAAGATCAACTAGACTAGAGGGTAAGAGGAGACAAAAATAATGAAGAAAATAATATGAGTAATATTTTAGATTGAGATCATGAACCGATTAATGTTAGACGACCATTGAAAACCTGTAAGCACAGGACGGCCGGTTCGTTCTATTGAGGGACTCCTGAGCAGTGCTCATCCACAATCCCGCTCACGGAATTCGAACCCAGGGCCTTCATTCTCGCGCGCGAACGCTTAACCTACTGGACCACTGAGTCGGCATCCAATGGTGTTAATGTCTAACCTCAACCAATCCACGGAGTTCTGATGAGAAGCCGTGACCAGTGGGGCTAATCCGTGTCGATTAGAGACAGGTATCTACCTCAGTACAATGGAAGATGGTCGCGCGATTTCGTGGATTGGTTGAGGTTAGACATTAGGACCACTGGATGCCGGCTCAGTGGTCCAGTAGGTTAAGCGTTCGCGCTCGAGACTGAAGGACTTGGGTTCGAATCCCGCGAGCGGGATCGTGGATGCCCACTGTTGAGTAGTCCCAAAGTAAGACGATATGGCCGTCCAGTGCTTCCAGGTTTTCAATGGTGGTCTAACATCAATCGGTTCATGATCACAATCAAAAACTTAACAATTTCCACAACCCCTAAACTGATAATATGAATAATAGTTGGAAACCTCATCACTCTGGATAATAAGCTAAGATTACCAGGGTAGGTCTGAGGTGAGAACATACTGTTTCTGAATACAAAAAGGGGGTTTGAATCTTGTTATGGCTGAGGCTTCAATAAACCTTAGTATACTATTTTACACTTTTGTACAACACCACAGAAGTTCTGTTAGGATCAATCTTATGAAATGTTTCAACTATGTGCTTAGCGGCAGAGGATATTGGATATTTATCATCTACTCTAATTAGGTCGTTTGGTTTTATTTGTTTTTGCAACCATTTAGGTACATGTTCAGACACCCAACGAATGTAGTTAGTTTCGAAAATTGGACAGTTAAACAAACACAAAGTTATATTTTAGTTCAATAGACAATCTGCTTTGTTATTACAAGTAACTATGGTAACCCTAGGAACGTTGTGATATGATTACAAATATAATCGTTTTAATAAAAATTTCTTTTGTGGATCAATATTGTTGAGGCGTGTACTACTCATT